GAAGATGCAGAGAGGAAAAGAAGGAGAAGGAGAAAAGTCCCTGAGAGAGACCCTGCTGCTGATTACACAGCAGTCTTAGATTAAACAGTAAATAAAGAGGTTTAAAACGCACATGACAGCAGAATAAGAACCAGAAAGTGTATATTATACTATACTATTGCATACAACTATTTGCACGCAAATGTAAAAGCTTTGCATTGTGTAAAAGCTGAATTACTAATCCAATCGAAATATCAATATGTGAATCACAACTACGGCATAGAGAAACATACATTAAAATACATATTTTGTGGAGATTTACTTTAAATGGTCCATTTAATGTCTTTCCTGCATTTGACAATTTGTTAGAAATTATCCGTAACGATAAACCTATCCATCTGATACTCCAAGCAGGTCAAAACTAGTGCGTTCTTCCACCCATTCATCCACATACGTCCCTGATAACATCAGAACATTTTGAGTCATGAATGGCTGTTGTGTGTTTACTGAAGTCTTGAACCAAAGCCACTTATCTAACTTGGCCATCCAGACTCTAAATGACTTCCAAATGGCTTGGTCCATTCGTGTCTTTCCTCCCACACAGCAGCCAACAGCAGGGAAGGAGACACAAAGACAAGTATGGCAGCCCACTGAAGAAAAATGACTACCGCTGCAAAAGGAGCTATCATTCACGTTGACTGAGTTTTTCAACATTTCTTTTAAGGGATTGTAAAGGGATAAGGAGATCATTAAAGGCAAATACATTCTGTCGTTCTGTCAAAGTATAAAGTACTGCTTTTTTTTGTAAGAGCACAACAACCCCAGTACATTAAACCTGTAAATAGAAACCACATCTCTGCAGCTCTATCCCTCAAATGTGCCTTCACACTACTTGACTTTTAGGCTAAGAGTTTCAAAACAGTCACAGCCCTAAAGGAAAAAGATTTCTCTTTTGAAATGATATCCATCATCTGTTTATGAATAAACATGAACAAAGATGAGCACATTTCCATGTGCATGCAGAGGAACAGGGCATACAATACAAATATTACTAGGGACACAAATGCTACTTTCAGTATTTCATTTGCAATGATACCCACACCTGACTCAATTTCCTTTTTTATCATTTATTAAAGGTCCATGTAAGAATTAGGAGGCAGACATAGAATATAATATGCATAGTTATAGTAGTATGTAACTAACTGATGAATCCTGTTTGTTACCTTAGAATGAGACGTTTATATCTACAGATGCTGCGGGTCGCCTTCCATGGAGTCCGCCATGTTGAACCGCCATGTTACTATTACTATAGTATCTGAGAAGGGACAAACCAAATACTGGCTCTAGATAGGGCTGTTTTTTTTTTTTACCATAGTACTGTACCATTCTAGCGTGCTACTGTAGTTTCTCTTTTGCGCTTGGAAGGGGAGGGTGAAGCGACATAGCTGCTATCTGCAATTATAGTGCTAGATTATTTATTGTTGTTTTTACTGTATATGTGGATGGAGGTTTCAAGCTTTTTGTGTGAGTGATAGCTGGCTATAACACAGTGAGAGCTGAACTACCTTTGCTCATGTTTATGTATTTGCATGCAGTTAACATTACTAAATAATGATGGATGGGTGGATAAAGCCTCAAAGAAGGCCAAACATATACATGGGTATGTTTTTTGTCATCACAAAAGACTCTCCAGACTTATCATTTAATGCACTGTGGTTCTTCTTTAAAACAGAGGGGGGCAGTAATTACCTGTGACCTCTCTGAGATGCTGTGTGGGGGACAGACTATTACTCGGGGACCACACTAGAGACCTACAGAATGTTAACTGTGATGCTGTAATGAATGCATCTTTAGGATCTAGGCTATGGAATCAGAGGAGTCAGGATGGGATTTTTTTCTTACATGCCAGCCTTGAAACAAAATGTCATGCAGTGAACTTTTATAGTAGAAATACACAACAAACAATGGAAAGGTTTACAGCAACCATGGGCAAATGAAAGATCTAGCACGGGATATCAAACTGCTGGCTCAGGGGACATTTCCTCCCTCTGGCCTGTCATTCATGATGTCAAAAATATAATCTGCAAGATTATTATTATTTTTCTAGTTGCATCATCAGAATGAATCAGAATCAGAAGGAGATTTATTGCCAGGTAGGTTTTTACACATACGAGGAATTTATCTTGGTGCAATGGTGCTTAAAATATACAATCACACAAAAATATGTAAATCACACAAAAATATACAAGTCAAACAATCATAGCATATCAATCATATCAATCCAACTGCCCTTTCATATACAATTAAAATGAAAATTCTATTTTGAACAATGTATTTCGCTTGGTGGAAAATGATGGCAAAGGTCAAAGGTGCCCACAAATGCATGCAAAGGGTTGATATAAGGAGAGCAGGCTGCGAACAACAAAGATGATATAAAATAATATCAAAATGTATAGAAACTGCTGCATTTGTGTGTTAAGTATGATAATAATGGAGATATTTTCACAATATTGCACTATTCTTGTTGAAGGTTGAAGTCGCCTTCCTATGAGATGATAATACCAGCAATGGCCCCAAGCCAGACACCTGATTTACAGCTACCATGAGCAAATTAAAGATCTAGCACTTTAACATGGCAGATATTTCACCACACAACATAAGATCTAAACCAGCCATCCTCACTTCTCTGAGAGCATGTTGTTTTCCTAATACTCTTTAAACCTGCACATTAAGACCAACTGACATCAATCTCATGTTTCTACCCGTTTAGCAGGGATCAGCATTTGTGGAGTAAGCGGATAGCACTAATTCACATGTAGGATTTTACCTTGCGACATAGTGTGAACTTGCTATTCAAGTTCGAGGCCAGGTTAGGGTTGGGTCCTGCCCTGTCGCCCCAGATGAACAACAAGAAAAACCACAGAAAGGAATGATCTGGAAAACACAACATTTACCAGGTTGTTGTCAAAAAAACCTTACAAGAAGGCAGCTGAAAAAGATGGAGAAAAAGTCTTGTAATGGGAAAGCCCTGAAGCTAGAAATATATTGCTCTGCTACTCTGACAGAGCCGCTCAGTGGCTAGCTCTGGTTGTATTTGGCAATAGTGACAACATCAAAAGTCACTTAGGTCAACAAAAAGTCCACTGTTTCATTTCAAAGTCAAACTATACTTTTATACAGTCAAATCTGAAAACAAATTGAAATATATATATATATATATATATATATATTATATATATATATATATAAGGCTCAATCCAGGACAAATGTTGAACTAGGACATTTCAACTTGAATTTCACTCTTACTGAACTGTAGCGTAGCTTTAAAAGAGGAAAAAGCTTCATTTAAGCTGCATTACCATTTAAAATAGAATATTTTATCAACGTAATCACTGAATTATAGTTGTAGTTCTGATGTGTGAATAGACAGGATTGTATACTTAGAGTAGTAGTATGTCTCTGAATGATGCTGAACAAAGGATGAAAACAACAACAAGTGCAAAGACAGATAGCAGAGTGCTGGTATCACCGCATCTCTGTCAAGTGAACGGGCTGTTGTCCTTTGAGGCAGGTGTCAGTACTGCAGCAGGATGGCAAAACTAAAGACTGGTCTGCACTGCCACCTGGTGGTCATTGGAACACTTCCCCCCATGCCCCCCAAATGTTTCATTTCAGCCTCTAAAATGCTGCAATGTAATTCTTTTTATATGGTGAATAGAAGCTGGATATTGCTGCTTCTGTACATTTTCTTTACGTTCAGTGGCGGCCATTTGTCATGCCGTGTGTTATTGTGTCTAAGGGAAATCCACACATCTAAGGCAACTTTATCAAATGTAACAATCCACACAGACGCTGAGTCACTTCAGGATCCCCAGCATTTTTTTACACTCCTTTTTGGGGGCACGTGCTCAGTAAAAAGTAAAAGAATAAAAGAGAACAGACTAATCTTCACAAACAGCTGTATAAATCACTCAAATCTCGCACTGTTTAAATGGTGTGAACTTATTTACCATTGTCATGGCTTACCATTAATATATATTGACATCAATATCAAGGCCCCCAGTTTCACAATGAAATGAAAACAAAGGTATTTTCTTCTTTATGCTGCACATTAAGCCTACTTGAAAATGTTCGTTGAGGCCATTCTCAGACCTCTCGGCCCCTCAAGAGCTGTGCTGCTGAAAACAGCTGCTTCTGAGGGCAGTAATAGGTTGGAGTCCATGTGGATAGAACGGACTGATGCATCAGTAGTTGCCACTTATATCTCACTTATGATGTGGATTCCCAGTAAACATTTCTGTAGACCTCTATGTACTTCTTTCATTGTTGTATGGTGCCGTTCATATGTTTTTTGCTATTCAGTCTTTTTAATCAAGAAATTGTAATAGATATTTCCAGTTTAGTAACATGATTTCTAGGAATGCACGATATGGGTTTTTTTCAGCTGATACAATAACCAATAATTACCTTCTTCTCACTGCCGATACCGATAATTTCACATTTTTGTATTCTAAATAAAAGTTCACAACCTGTAGTTGATGCACGCCTGATGGTAAGAAAGGCTAAAATGTAGTGAGCTTAGATGGATGATTTCATAGTTCTGACCTAACCAAACTGACATCACTATTGTTAAAACAACAAAAACAAAAAACAGTTCTGAAGTGTTCATGCATTTCTTCTTGTCAAGTACATCAAAAACTTTACAAACATACTTTGGCTTTCATAGATACAACAGAGTATTAGGGCCATACTAAGAAAAAAAGATTTATTTTTTGGGGAAATTATGAGAATAAAGTCATAATATTACGAGCATAAAGTCATAATATTACGAGCATAAAGTCATAATATTAGGTCTAAGAGAATAAAGTCGTAACATTACGAGAATAAAGTCATAATAAAGTCCGAGAATTTATCGCCTATAATTTAATTATCAGAATAATACATAATAATATAAATTTCGCATTATAGGTGCATCCCTAGTTCAACCCCTGTGTGACTGTAGATGTATTATGCCAGCTTACCGTGGTGCTGTGAACAGATTGGCCCAGCTCTATGACATGTGGATCAGTGGACTGTGTATCTGCCACTGTTGGACTGATCTGTGGAGAGAAAGAAAAGTCATATATCGCTGCTCCCCTTATAACCTTCAAAAAATATCTCTTTATTTCTCACTTGTATAAGCTGAACACACAGATATTATGTGTGGAACTGCAAACCAGGTCGTTTTCTCTTGATATTTCTTGTCTATGCAGTGAAGCTATATGAACAGTTTTGAAGCCTGAACATTGGTCAGTTTTAATAAAACTGCTATGATGACTGCTTGATTTTATTCCTGGTCCTGTCAAGTCGTATCATCTTCATGTTAGTTTATATGGTAGACGATAAAAATACACCATTAAACTTGTATATTACTATGATTTTATTAAAGCGTAACTACCACCTCATAATTATAGAACCCAGCCTTGAATAATTTACTAAAAATAGTTAGGTAATAGTTAGGTCAGTTAGGTAAAACTGACCTGAATGGCTGTGGGCTGCGGGTGGTGAAGGTGGGGTCCTCTGGGGTGGATGTCAGTCACATGGGGTGGGGGATCAGGGGTGGATCTCCGGCTGTGTTGTTGCAGGACGTCCTGGTAGGATTTGGTGTCAAAGTTTGTCCTCCACATCAGCACCTAGGGGATCGAGGGACCAACACAACTTCTATGACCCAAGTTCTTTAAACTTTTTAGCACAGAAAGTAAAAAAGATAACCTTTAAGTTACAACCTATTGAGAGTATAGGGGACACAGGGTTCTTTTATGTAGTCATGAAACACCAACCTGACTATCAGCACCCCCTGAGGCAAAGAGATCCCCAGCCCTGGAAAAGGATACTGTGATTACGGCGCCCTGAAAAACAAAGTAAACCATGTAGGTAAATTGAAAAAGCAAAATATTCTGAATATATTTCCATTATTAACAAAATACTTAACAAAAAATGCCGAAAAAGTTTCTATACATTTTTATATCATCAATATATATCATCTTTGTTGACAAACATAAAAAATGAAGCCCTGAAACCTGCTCTTCTTATCAACTGATTGTGGGCACCTTTGACCAACAAAATTAATTTCTTGAAATAGATTTTTTTTTTTTTTTTTTTAAATTGTATATTAAGGGGGAGGTTTAAATTCATATAAATAATCATTTCAAAAATAATCATTTAGAATGAAATATTGCAGGCCGTATTATATTATATTTTTTCTATCATGTCAAGGGCCAGAGTTAGAAGGATGGTGGGACGGAAATGGCCCCTGGGACAGCAGTTTGAGATCCCTGGCCAATAGTGTCTGATGACTGCGGGTGAACTGAGTTGTGCTGTAATATCACCTTGTGTCCATGGAGGGTGTAGATGAGGCGTCCCTCCAGCAGGTCCAGGATCTTAACAGTGCTGTCACTGGAGCCACTGATCAGGTAGTTGTTGGATGGGTGAAAGGAAAAGCTGTTGATTCCTGCACTGTGGACTGATCCAAAAGGTACAAAAATGAGCCACACACAAAAAGCACATTAACGGCAATTCACACTAAGCAAAGCAAAAAAACTCTAAGTAGCTTTAGTACACTGCAGGAGAATAGGTAAGCAGAGTCTTTAACTGACAATTACAGTCTTCTGCATTTTAGAGACACTGGCAAGGATATTCCAGGCTATTACTTGATTTTCCAAACTGGATATATATAGCATTATTATAGCTCTGACATTTTGACATACCTTGATAATGCTGAATCAGCTTGTTGGTCCGTAGATCCCAGATTTTTAGTGAACTGTCAGCTCCTGAGGATGCAATACAGGTGCCGCTTGAGTAGAAGTCAACAAACGTTGCTGATCTGGAATATCAAAAACACTCAGTGGAGTCAGTGACCAGCAGCAGTTTAACAGTCTGGTGTTTAAATAATTAGGGATGTCCTGATCAAGCTTTTTTAACACCAGAGTATTTTATTTTGTTAGATAATACACTGCGCAGTGCACATTTCAAGTACATTAAGGTTATTAAAATCAGTCCAGTGTATATGTCTGACAATTAAATTGCTCTGTATTGTATCAAGAACAAAAATGCCTGCATCTAAGCTTCTCCTTAATGTTTTTTTTTTTTCACAATAGAGTGTAAAATAACAAATCCTCTATAATCTTTTTGGTCTTGTCGTTGTCTGATGGGAGTTTCTCCCTGCAGTGTTGGTGCTTTGGTGCAGCCTTTGCCAAAGTTACCTGAATGAGCAGTCTGTATTTTACTGAGTGTTTATTTCTGTTGTCTCTACATCTTGTGTTCACAGGACTTTTGTTGCAGTGGCGTGTTAAGTGTGGTTGTGTCAGATCTCTACCGCTGTCTCTGCTCTCGCACTGACACGGAGCTTAGAGTGAGACAGAGAGAGTTGACGGTGGCTACAACGTGCATGAAAGCTTTGCGTGTAAAAACATAAACAAAAAAGATCCAATAAATAAGGCTTAATATAGCGGATACCGATCAGTTAAAAAGTGCTTTGATTAGCGCTGATACCGATTGTTGAGATCGGCTCGGAACATCCCTATAAAAATTACAAAACAATGCCATCTATGGGAGAGACAAAGCAATGACTACACACAATTAATTTAGTTTTTTGAAACGTTTTAACACTTCACCTCTTTGAATCTCTTTGATGCATTACAAAAACATAATGTCCAGGGGTTGTGCCAATTAGAAAGACAAAAAAATAAAGACTATTTGATTAAGTGGCTCAAACTAACAGAACTTTAGTCACAATGCTATAATTAAAATAAAACCCAAAGTGATGGCAAAATTAAAGCCAAGAAGAATAAGCTGGTTTTAGGACTTACCCTCCATAGTCAGTGAAACAGTTGATGCAGTGTTTGGTGGACGTGTCCCACAGCCGGACGGTACGGTCGTCTCCGCAGGAAGCTATCAGACGGCCATCAGGAGAAAATCTGTCGTAAGGAAAAGACAAAATACGCTACTTATACCAATGAGGCCAAATTAACTTTTTAGCAGTTCTCTGCTTCAGACTCATCCAGTTCCATGCACTTACAGTGAACACTTCAGCCAATCTTGACCACTGAATTTTAACTACTTATCTCAATCAGATGTTTCACATAGAGCCCGATTCAAAACACCTAAAAAGAAATGACTAGGAGAGTGCAAGATGTTAAGAAAAAGCGCATGGCTATTATCTTGGTTTGTAAAAAGTAACGCGTAACTCTGTTTGCTCTTGGACAAATCCTTTGCGAGCAGATAAAATATTATTTCAGAAAGTGGCCAAGTTGTTAAATCTTCATGTAACCTACAAGACACACACACACAAACACGCTAGAGCAAGTTACATTAGGATGTGGTGCTTGGTACCTGGCACAGCGCACCCAGTTGGTGTGCTGGTTGAGAGAGTAGACAAAGCACTGCCGGTGAACGCTCCACACTTTGACAGACTTGTCGTCGGACGCCGTCACCAGTCTCTGGCTGTCATGGGAGAAAGCAACACTGCGTACAGGGGCCGTGTGGGCTTTGAACACTGTTGACTCTCCTTTCCTGTGGAATACAGACACGCAACATTAAATGCAACTGATTCCAAACCAAGCCTCTTCCAGTCACACATGTCGTGCAACCTCAGTCTGCGTGGTATGTGTGACCCTCTTGCTAGTTTACTGTGTTACAGTTAAGTTTCCAGTATAATAATAGACCTAACTGTGCAGCAGACCATTTGTTTTACATTTCATATTACAGTCCACTTATCTTACTCGGTAAACAAAAAGTTCCTGATTAAAACAGCAGAAGTGAACATACATGGAAGGTGTCCACAGTCTGACCGTTCTGTCCTTAGAGGAAGTGGCCACCAGGTTACCAGAGGGGGAGAACTGCAACCCAGTGATGACGTCTTGGTGGCCAACAAAGCGGAAAGCCCTCGCCTTTGGAGCTAGATTCCAGATCATCAGGCTCATATCCACTGACCCTGAGGCTAGAGGGAGACAAAGGAAAGATGAAGGTAGGACTTACACAATAAACTGTATAGATTTCCTGCTGGAGGATTGCAGTAGATTTAATTATTGGTGTTTGGAAAGGTATTGTTAACTTTTAATTGCGTCTCATATGAAAGAAGAGCCTAATGTGTCCACAAATATTCTGGTAGGTGATAATGATTATTTCATTAAATACTACAGTCATGATGGCCACGCTACTACATAATTGTACATCAATTTAACTGGTCCAGGTCATAGCGAAGCACAAAATAAATGTTTCAACAGTGATGTGAAACCAATGTTTGATCTTTTTTATGAAAACCAAAAGTGTGACATATCATTAGAGGAAGCTATCTGCGCACTGCCAAAGAACATCTGAACCATAATAATAATGTGTATCTGTGAAGCAGCTTACCCAGTTGTTTGCGGTTTGGATTGAAGTCTGTACAGGTGACGGCATCTTTATGTCCCTTGAAGTGTCTCTCTAGGGTTGGATCCTCCTGCAATGACAATGCACCAGTCAGTGAGGAAGACTCTGCCCTTTAAACAATAGTTTGCTCAAAATGTTGTTTTACAACAGGTTTGGAAACTATGTGGTAGAGGAGGAAGTGTTCCCATGGCTAGCACAGACATGAAAAAATAGCTCTTCTAACTGATTAGACTGATGGAAATCCACCAACTCTGTTTTCTGTCAGAACTATACTGAGCACTGACAGAGCACTGTTGCTGTGTTGTTAGTAGTGGCGGGCTGGGCAAGGAATCCCTATGGGACAGTGTCTGACTGAGCAGACCAAACATGGCTGCGTTTAGGGAAAACAGCCAACAGACTGAGCAAAAACTCCAAGAGCTGAAGACCGTTATTTGCCAACAAGCAAGTCTACTATGTTATAACAATTTGGACCCTCTGTGTGTTTGACAGCCCCACAGCAAATCCTCTTAGCAGAGAAGCAGCTAGCAAACTCGCCGACTCAGCTAACCTACCATTAGCACCAGTGTACGTTATCAAAGTACACACTTGTGCTCATTGGCCTTTAGGTACGTAATAACAACATACTTACCAAAACAGACGCCATAGTAGGCATTTGGTAAAAGAGCCAATGTTGTCAGAGGGAAAGTTGAACCGCCCGCTGCTCAACGTTAACGTTACTTCCATGAACTGTCAAACAGTGCGCCTTCAGCAGCAGTGTCAGACCTGACCTGTCGAAGTCAGATAATACTCTGTTCCAAAAGTCTTTGAGCAACCTTAGTTGTTTCTGGATGAGTTTTTTTTAACTCTGAATGAAAATTTGGCTTTGAGTTTGCCTAAGCAGCCGAATAACCCGTTATTTCTACAGCTAAATATCTTAGCCACTTGTGGCTTGATCTTGTGGCAACGAAGAGAGTGGTGCTGCATTCAGGAAACATATCAAAACAGGGAGATAAGAAAATCCACTATTAAAATACCATTCTCCACATGAAAGTACCATTCGCCACAATGGTAACTTACTGGGAAATTCAGAATTAACAGTACATTCAATTAATCAAGGCTCTGTATACTGACTCGAAAGAATTGGCACGCAGCAAGTGAACATCAAATTAAAAACGTAAAATGATCAAAACATGAATAAAAAGTAACGTAAAGTAAAGCAAGCGTTTGTTGGCTGAAACGAGCATTAGATGTAAACCTCCAAGGCACTGCCAACGGGCAAAAAACCTTGTTTTATTAAGTTTATATCGTTATTACCCAAAACGTCATGGTTATTTCTATGTTACATGAATGCAGCAGGCCATTAAGGTGGAGCGTCTTCCGCTGCTAAGCAACTAGCGATATCATATGAAACTGCTCTATAGGTGATGGCGCAGTATCAGCTTCTCTGATTGGCCCGTGATACAGCACTGACAAATCAACGCCGAGGTTGTTAACCTTGGACAATTGATGTTTGGCATTTCGGTTTGAAAAGATGTCGCTCAATCGAGGCATCGGTAATGTGGAGGTAACGTTCCTTAAATGTCCGCATTGTTTGTTTTATTTACCCGCTGACTGCTAATATTGCACTGTCTATAACGTCATGTCCTGTGAATACAGCGTGGGCCAACAAAAACAAATGTATAGCTATCTTAGCAAGCTAGCTAGCTAGCTGTGATGAGGGTTAAGTTACCATATCAACGACAGTGCACCTGACAGGGCAACAATCCTAACGCTGGCCGCTAGCGCTTTCTAAAGCTCCAGGCTCACTTCACGAAGCTTCACCAACTAATACTAAAGCCAGCGTTTGCTCCTCAGTCTTTGTTTCTGGTCAGTCAGCTAACGAAAACCCTTTTGTCTTTTCCTTCTAGTACATGAAGAAAAGGATACCGAAAAACGCGAAGTATCAAAATGTCAAAACAAGGCTGGACACAGGTATCCTGTCAATACATACGTTAGGTGTACTACAGTGTCAGAAGTTAGTTGCATTTATTTTTGTCTGAAATAATTTACTAACTCACTTTAATTTTGCCTCTGTACTGTCATTTTTATACAATAGGATGCAGCCTTTCAAAGTATATGGAAAAACTGGAGGAGATTAAAAAAAGTGAGTAACTATATTGAAGAGGAATCGGTGTGAATCGTGTTTTATCTTTCTACTCTACTACATGCACTTAGTTCCATGTACTCATACATGTCACATGTTTTGTGTTATGTCTTCAGCTGTGGTTTTCATGTGAAAACACAACCTTGAAAGCAAGAGGTGTTTGATTGTGGCTGGATTTTTTTCCATTACCAAACCCACCACCTCCAAGTCTTTTAACTCTTAGTCTCTGAGATTCACAATTCACAATGGGTTCCTTTATACATAGGAACAGCTTCAATGTCTTCCTAAAGGACACTTCCACAAGCTTGGATCAAAGTTTTGACCCTGTAAGGCTGCTAGATTGCTTCCCTAGACTGTGGGACCAGTGACATTAGTTCAGTCCACTGGCGTATTATAAACACTTTCCATTCTGCCCAAATGCAAATAGGTGGATCAAATATCCCAGTTTGGCAGGATTGTGTAAAACTCACACATGATCCAACTCCAGCTAAATAAGCCCTCCTAAGGGTCTTTTTCTTAGTCGTGTGGATGAGAACTATTTACTGTTCACTTAAGGTAAGATTTGCCAACTTTGCACTTCATTTTCCCAAGGATCTGTGGGTTTCTCTTCTCTGTCTGCCCGTGTACTTCAAGAGGTAAACTGGAGAAGTCCTGACCCACTGATATTTCCCAGTTAAATAAGTTCTTTGTGGACAGTGGTCGTTTTGTGCTGACCCGTCCTCTGATTTCTCAGGGATAAGTGACACTGATTCCTTCCCTCTCCAATGGAGGATTGTGCTGCCGTCCACAATAATTCCTGTGTGAGTGGACACAAACTATCGGGACATGCTGTTCAGGTGCCAGCAAGGAGTCTTTGAGAAAGTGTGCGCTAGTGAGGTCACACTGTGGATAATACCAGTATCAGTAGCGCAGATAAAGCTGCCTGAGTGGCCTGATTTGGGCGTAGTAGTGGCAGCTTTGGCTGGAAGGTAGCATGGGAACAGAACGGGTAGATCTAAAGTTTAGTGAGGCTTTAGAAGGGGATGAGGAAAAGGAGGATGTGCAAGACCCAGGTGAGTTGTGTGCAATGGCGTATCACAGTTGTTTAACTAGGTTCTGTAATTATCAATCACAGTGTTAGACCAGCGGTTACTGTGCTCTCTTCAGCTACAGCGGCCATTCTCATTGAGATATTTCAAGACTGCTGTCAGAGCTCTGAGGCTCCTTCCTCCTCTAACCTTTCCTAGATACATTTGTTTTTTGATGATTTCTTTTTCCTTTTTTTCAGATTACAGGTATCGAAAAGATGAAATCTTCAAGCGGTTAAAGGTTACAACATTTGCACAATTGGTAAGCATTAATGTTAATTTCCTTGCTGTGCTGTAACATCCTGCAAGATTTATGCCGAACACACTGGAAACAGCAACAGTTATTTTCGTGGCCTATAGTATGGAGGTGAGGGAATGAATGCAGTGAGAATACCTGATCCATTTACAGTGCTTAATAATTCACAGACTACTTGTGTGAATAGTTTTGGACAGACAGCTCTGAATTCATTTAGCTTGGTTTGTTACCTTCAGTTACAGACTCCAGGATACCATTTCCTTTGCACTTTTACTTAAAATGTATTTGCTGTTATCCCTCCTAGTACAAGTATGTTTGATTTCCAATCTTGTTTTTCACACCAGGTACTTCAGGTGGCCTCTGTATCAGACCTGAATGAAAGTGATGATGGCGAATCACATGGGCCAGAGGGTAATGGCAAAATTACTTATTCCCTTAACACTGTGAATGTTAATTTATCTCCAGCGTCATACCAAGAAGGTCATTAGCATTTTAAAACAAATACCTCACTGTTGATTTCCCACTCCCGCTGATTTGCAGACAGTCTGTCAGTGGTGTCTGATGCAGACCTCGAGTGTCTGTCTGAACACATCAACGGCTCCCCACAGGCGTCACCTCTTTCAGATCGGCAGGATGACGGATACACCCGGGAAATGTGCTACTCTGCCAGGTCAACGCTGCTAAGGTACCGTACACCACCCTATTGAATCTCTCATACTGCACACAACACCCCGTATTACTCATAGTTTGGTGGACAACATTTATGCAAAGTACTTAGTATAATTCTGAATACTTGCATTGTGTGTTTGCGCTGGAGAGACCTGTACCTCTGTCCCAGGTGTTAGTGCCATGCTGTGCTCTCTGAGCTGTGCTGAAACCTGCAGAGTACCCTGTAGGTGCAGCTGCAACCTTCCCTGGTTGACTTATGTGTCCTGGACCAAACTGATATTGAAAACAAATTAGGAACTCCAGTTAGTGGATTGCTGTTGTCTCAGTAGATTTATCAGCACTAGATGGGTGTTTAAGGACCAACTCTCTTTAATTACATTAGCTCTAGTGATATCTTGAGCATCCAACGTCCATGTGGAATAATATTATATATAATATCATATTAATATAAACACAAGATGATACAGTGCCTTGATCATGTGAGATCTAATTCCGTATATTCAAACATTTTCAAGTTGTCATTTCATATATTAATTAATTCACTTAATATATATAACTTAATATTCAAACTTTATATTGTAATAATTTCCTAAACAGGATGCCATATTTATACTACTGAAATTACAGAGCGCAATGAAAAAACTAATATTTTTTATAACAATAGTGCAATTTAAACTGAGCTTTATAGTGGCAGAGCAGTCACACTACCACCTTCATTCACTCCCAGCATCCAACAATCACAACTCCAAACCACAAGCACACCTGTAACCCTATACCCACCATACTTTACCTCCACCTTTTTTCCCCTTAAGCTGTCACACTCCCCCACCCTCCTGTATACTGCACAATAACCTCCCTCAATATGTTCTTAGCATCCCCTCCTCTCACCTGCGTCCTCCACCTCAAACAGGAACCCCAGGAGAGTAACTCTATCTGTGGTCTCTCCGGGGGCCACACACTGAGCCTCTGTAACAGCAGAGCTTTTAGGTCACCTTCACCTTGTAGGGAGGGCAGATGGAGAGGGAAAGTAGGGCAGTGCTGGGGTAAACCTATACAAGGGGAAAGTGGCGTCCTTCTACAGTGCTGTTTGGCTCAGCTCCATACTTACATTTGCTACAGTGAGTCATTTTCCTGTAGGCTCTGGTTTCACATTAACGGATTCGAAACTTGCCAGATCAACCCCTCCCTGCTTTAAGAAACAAAATCAGTACCGTCCTGGACTGAATCATCATTGACTGTTACAGACATAGTAGCAGGGAATGTAGAAGTGGTACTTCCACCATTGTCTACATGGAAAACATGCGTATCTTACCAGCTGGCAGGTGTCAATATACATCATATTCTGGGATTGATGAAGAGTTCTACCTTTCAACATTCTAAATCATCTCCAATTCCAAGTCATTTTTAAAAATGTATCATACATACATACATAAAACAAAATGTGTTAGTGTAGTTCAACAGAATATATGCTTTTTATATTTTGTATAGAAAAAAATACCAGAAACCACATAGGTTAAATAAAATGACATGACCGCACTGATGCAAAACTATCCTACTACTATGTAATTAAAAATACAAATATAGCCTCAAGCTGCAATGATTGGCTGAAATCAGTGTTATGTTGTTTTTCTTTTGTTTGTTTGTGTTTGCGAAATAGAGGCAGTTTTGAATTGTGAATGAAACCTGAAGGTTTGAGGATAAAAATACAGTTAAACATAAAAATGTTCAAGTTTAATTGTCTTATATACTCATACAGGTACTGTCATATTGTAATGTGAGAGAGTTGCCAAAAAAAGGAAAAACTTTAATTAAGTTAAATAAGTCAGTGAAGGGTATTGCAGCTCCTAACATTTTACCACCTACAGCGTTATTAGTGGTGTGGGAGAGCTGAACCTCGACAGGAACAACCAGAAGATGAAGAATGAGTCTGTGTTCAGCCCCGAACCAGCTGACAGGCCCTATCCCGACTGCCCTTACCTGCTGCTGGACGTACGCGACAGGGACCAATACGACCGCTGCCACATCATCAGCGGTAGGTGGCAAGAACACGATGCTAGGTCATCATGCTTCGTGTTCCAAAAATGTCTATTGTTGTTTTAATTCTCTCTCTCTCTCTCTCTCTCTCTCTCTCTCTCTCTCTCTCTCTCTCTCTCTCTCTCTCTCTCTCTCTCTCTCTCTCTCTCTCTCTCTCTCCTGCAGCACACAGTTTCCCCATAGCCACGCTCTCTCGAACAATGAACCCCTACACCAAAGAAGTGCTGGAATATGTATCCTTCATCACAGACTACACAAAAAATATTTACATGCCCTGATTTTTCTGATTTTTCTTTTTTGAAATGCAGTTACAGCTGACTGTTGGTTTGTCTGACCTTAACACACAAACTGTGTAGAAAAATGCCGCAGGGAAGATCCTCATTGTGTATGATGAGGATGAGAGAATAGCCAGCCAGGCAGCCACTGTCATGTGCGAACGAGGGTTTGAGAATCTGTTTATGCTGTCTGGAGGTAAGATATATCTCTGAAGTTGTCTAGTCTGCTTCCTTTAAAAGTAATCTAATCCATAGTAAAAAAATCTGAGTGATGGAGGATTTTAAGGGGAAAATTAATATAGAAAATGCTGCTTTACATGCCCATTAGTTGACAATTGATCATTTAAAGTTAGTCAAAGCAGGTGACATGTATTTTATTGTATTTTTACTAGTGCTGTCTAACGATTAAAATATATAATCGTGATTTATCGCATTAATGTCATAGTTAATTCACAATTAATCGCAATTAATCGCACATTTTTATCTATTCCAAATGTCCCTTTATTTATTTTTTTCCCATTATTTTTTCTCATTTTAATGCTCTTATCAACATGGAAAAGTGGATCGGCTTGCTTTGTGCAAATGTTTTTTTTTATTGAAAACAACATTGGCATATACTGTAGTGTTCAATTTCACACTAACATTCTCACTTGGAGCAAATAATCTCTCACACAATGTAATCAAGTGCTATTTCAGACTGGACGTGCTGCGATGATAGCTCAGTTCACAACGACAATACACACAGATCACTTTGGTCTTGTCAATGGAACCATTTGGCAACTTTTTAAAAGTAAACTTTCCATTCAGAATATTATTGGCAATCATTTTGGCGTCTCGCGCTCACCATCCACTCAAAACGTAACGTCTAATACTCTTAAACAAGTATGTGAGACGTGCCTGTTGTTTTGTTTCCGGTCTAGCTAGATCCGGTGTGGTGTTGTAGTTTTTCTAACGTTACTAGTTGTTGCAACAGCATGTGAAAAAAAACTACAACGCGTGCAAGGCCAAAAATAATGTTAATCTCGCGCTAAAAAAATTTACGCTGTTAAAATGGCGCCGTAAATAACGTGTTTAACTGACAGCACTAATTTTTACTTATCTATAATGCCTTATTAATCTAATACAAATAATAAAATGTTTAAAGGCAGCACTGTTGCAGGTTCCATATTTGAAAAGGGTTATCACCCCACTCTGCCGTCCTCTCCCAGGTCTCAAGGTAATCGCTCAGAAGTTTCCAGAAGGGATGACGACAGGCTCCATCCCGACCTCATGCCTGTCCTCTCCTACGTCATCGAAGGTCAAGAAGAGTTCTTTGCCGCACCAGCCGTCGCTGGCCGCAGAGAGGAAGTGGCGGTTTACATCAGACGAGCTGGCCAAGATCCAGGAGCAGCTGGAGGAGATACTCATCCCCAGTAACTCCAACTGTAAGAGCAATTTACAATTCCATTTTCCACTTTGAAATTAGAGTATTGCTTTAGGCGTCCATCATTTCCCAATGAATGGTAATTTCTAAGAAAGCGTCCTTGGGAAGAACTATGTAATTTGGTACATAAGTATGGGGGAAATAGAAGCAAAGTTCTGCAGCAGGTATTTCGGTTTAGTTGGTTGTGTTGAGTTGTTGATTTCCTTGAGAAAAAAACTCTCATCTCATCTTCATCCACTTATCCGGCATCGGGTCGTGGGGGTAGCAAGTCCAGCAGAGGACCCCAAACTTCCATTTCCCTAGCAGAATTGGCCAACTCTGACTGGGGGATCCCGAGGCATTCCCAGGCCAGTGTTGAGATATAATCTCTCCACCTGGTCCACGGTCTGCCCTGTGGCCTCCTCCCAGCTGGACGTGCCAGGAACACCTCCCTTGGGAGGCGCCCTGGAGGCCTCCTCACCAGATGCACGAACCATCTCAGCTGGCTCCTTTCTAGGCACAGGAGAAGCGGCTCTACTCCGAGTCCCTGGCGGATGACCCCTAAGGGAGACGCCAGCCACCCTCCTGAGGAAACCCAAGGCCGCTTGTAACGCAATCTCGTTCTTTCGGTCATGACCCATCTCTCATGACCACAGGTGAGGGTAGGAACAAAGACCGGTAGATCGAGAGTTTCGCCTTTCGGCTCAACTTTCTTTTCGTGACTGTGCTGATCCTCATCCCAGCTGCGAACCGATCCAGTGAGTGCTGAAGGTCACAGGCTGATGATGCCATTAGGACCACATCATCCGCCTAAAGCAACAATGCAATCCTCAGCCCACCAAACAGCAACCCCTCCCCCCCACGACTGCGCCACGATATCTTGTCCACGAAAGTCACAAACAGGATTGGTGACAAAGTGCCGCCCTAGCGGAGGCCAGCACCCACTGGAAACGAGTCCGACTTACGACCAAGAATCCGGACACAACTCTCGCTTTGGAAATACAGGTATTGGATGGCCCTGAGAAGTGACCCCCTCACTGCATACTCCCGCAGCACTTCCCACAGGATATCCTGGGGAACCCGGTCATATGCCTTCTCCAAATGCACAAAGCACGTGTAGACCGGATGGGCATATTCCCAGGCCCCTTCCAGGACACCTGCGAGAGTGAAGAGTTGGTCCGTTGTTCCACGACCAGGACGGAACGGTACTGTTCCTCTTTAATCAAAGGTTTGACAATCAACCGGACCCTCCTTTCCAGCACCTTAGAGTAAACTTTCCCAGGGAGGCTGAGTAGTGTGATGCCTCTGTAGTTTACACACACACCCTCTGGTCCCCCTTTTTAAATAGGGGAACCATCACCCCAGTCCGCAGCTCCTTTGGCGCTAGGGGTGGGAAAAATAATCGATTCTTCGATGCATCGCGATTCTCTCTAGAGCGATTCCGTCTTGATGCAGATAAGTTAATAATCGGAATCTTGAAAATTAAATTAGTTCGCGTGCTGCAACATTCTGTTCACCTGCTGCAGAGCTCTACAGAAAACTCTCTTTTCTGCCTGCCAGTTCTCCGCCAACACGCAAAACCACATTTCTGGACACCACTCAGAGTTGGGGGAAAAGCAACCCGTTCCTGATGGCAGCCAGAGGACTTCTTATAATTGACTAAGAGCAGCTTTTTCTTAAATGACATAGAAAAGAAAGATTAGAAAGAAAATAAAAATGAATAGTTTTTCTACTTCCATATTGTGTTAAAATGCAATCTGCATTGTTCATAGAAAGTCATATTTGTGACAAGAAAATCTTTTTCTCTAATAAAATATAGAGAAGGTAATTCATCTGTTGATTGTCTTTAATGAATATCACAAAAGTAGTAGGAAGTGATTAGCAAACTCAGATGTATATATATATATATTTTAAAATCACGCATGAAAATGTACATTAAAAAATTGTTGCATCGAGATGCATCGATAATCGGTTTAGAATCGAATCGTTGACCTCTGAATCGTAATCAAATCGAATCGTGAGGTGGCGAAAGATTCCCACCCCTATTCGGTCCTGCCCTGACTTCCACGCAATGTTGATAAGGCGTGTCAACCAAGACAGCCCCTCAACAGAGCCTTGAAGCCTTTCTGGGCGAATCTCATCAATCCCTGGGGCTTTGCCACTGTGGAGTTGTTTGACTAACTCAGTGACCTCCCGCAGGGAAATTTATGCAGATCCCCCATCATACTCCAGCCCTTCCTCTATCACAGAGGGTGGGTTTGTTGGTCTAGTTGGGTTCAGGAGTTCCCCAAAGTGTTCCTTCCACCGCCCAATTACCTCCTCAGTTGAGGTCAACAGTGTCCCATCCCCACTGTACACAGCTTGAATGATTCCTCGCCTTAGGTGTTGGATGGTTTTCCAGAACCGCCTGGATGCCGTCTGAAAGTCCTTCTCCATGGCTTCTCCGAACTCCTCCCACACCCACTGTTTTGCTTCCCTCACAGCTGTGGCTGCAGTCCTTCGGGCCTGTCAATACCCTGCAACTGCCTTGGGAGTCCCCCGGGATAACATATCCCGGAAGGCCTCCTTCTTCAGTCGGACGGCTTCCCTGACCACCGGTGTCCACCACCGTGTTCGAGGGTTACCGCCCCTTGAGGCGCCCAAGACCTTAAGACTACAGCTCACACCAACCACTCTGGTTCGATGTCCCCAGCCTCCACAGGAATGCCGGAGAAGCTCCGCCGGAGGTGGGAGTTGAAGGTCTCTTGGACAGGGGCCGCCTCCAGACGTTCCCAGTTCACCCGTACTACACGTTTGGGTTTACCAGGTCTGTCACCAGATGGTGATCAGTTGACAGCTCCGCCCCTCTCTTTACCTGAGTGTCCAATACATGCGGCCTCAGGTCTGATGATACGATCACAAAATCAATCATAGACCTTTGGCCTAGGGTGCTCTGGTACCACGTACACTTTTGAGCATCCCTATGTACGAACATGGTGTTCGTTATGGACAATCCATGACTAGCACAGAAGCCCAGTAACAAAACACCACTCGGGTTCAAACCGGGGAGGCCGATCCTCCCAACCACGCCGTTCCTCCCAATCACGCCCCTCCAAGTGTCTCCATCATTGCCCACATGTGCGTTGAAGTCTCCCAGGAGAACAATAGAGTCCCCTACTGGAGCCCTATACAGGACTTCATTCAGGGTCTCCAAGAAGGCCGAATGCTGTTTGGTGCATAGGCACAAACAACACAGATCGTAGGCGTAGGGAGGCGACCCTCTCGTCCACCGGGGTGAACTTCAACATAGCGGAATTATTTTACATTATTATACACTAGTGAAAACATAACTCTGAATATTATATTCTGTTTTTGCTAATAGATCCTCTTAAATCTTACACATTGGACCATTAATTTAATGGAAGTGTATCAATTGAACACTTTTGACATTTTTCGCTATAGTTAATATTGAATATACATAGTTGCTTCCAGAAACTTTCCCATTAATTTTAGGGCCTGTCCTCACGAATACGCCGCCTCACCCAATACAATGTCGTTTTGAAAAAAATCTCCGTAAACACGGAGTTTTCAGAAATATCTGCGTCCACACGGATTCACTTAAACGACCCAAAACGCTGTAGTACATATGCCAGGCCTGTATGTGGCGCTGCCACACCAATACACTAAAACCGGAAGAGAAGCCATGGAGCATGCTCTGTTTACAAACAAGTAGTAGTAGTCCGCCCTTGTTGTTGTTTTTATGACGCGTCTTGCGGCGGCGGCTACAGTTAAAGGCTAGAGAGGCGGGGCTAATCCGTTATCGCTGTCCAGACGACTCCGGGAAATCCGGCGTTTTCGGATTTTCCCACTCTGGGACCGTTTCCAAAAAATACCGTTTTCACACCCAAAAAACGCCTGTATCCGTCTGGACGCGAGGCCGATACGATAAAGTATTTCGAGATTCGAGAAAAACTTATTCGTGAGGACAGGCCCTAAAGTTGCAGATCATGTCCATCTTATACAATTATACAAACATATAGTACCCATAAAATAAAGCATTACAGACCAGGCTTATCAGATATTTATTCAGAGTGACACATCCCTTCTGATTGAGATCCTATCTTTGTGCTCCATTTACTCCATGAAATTCTGGCATTGGGCAGATTGGAGTCCTGAATCAAAATTATAAAAGATTATAATATTTTATTAACAAAATTTCACCAAGAGAAAGTTAGCATCACAAGTGTCATTTTTTCCCTGTCTCATCACTGTTAACCTTCACTACTGTTTGCCTTTGTTCACTGCAGCCCGCATGTCCAGCCGCATGTCATCCAGCAGCTCCCAGTCTAAAGCAACCAGCGCTCAGAGTCGACGCAGTTCCTCTACAGCTGGGGGAGGGGACAGCGCCAGGATTCAGAGCTGTAGACCCTGGAAATAAAACCATCACCCACTCAACCACACAGATACTAACAAACATACCTCCAACAGAAAGTCCATTTATTTCAGGGTGCATTTTTCCGCTCCATAATTGTAAAGAAACACACCTCCGGTCCCAGTCTGCAAAATAATCCACAATACTGCTTCAGTCAGAAGTGGAAAGGACACCACATCTACTTTATTAAAGCAACTTTGTTACGTACCCATGTATACTTGTGTTTCTGGCGCCCGCTAGCATCTTTTATTCCAGAATTTCCTCTGACACAGATGCTGAATCTAGGTTTTGTGTTTTTCAGTTTAGGAAACTGCACACACCGGGGTAAAGTAATTGACACTACACAAAACCTAATTAACTAACTAATTAAGACTGGAGAACAGTATGAAATTTACAAATAAAAAAATCTATAGGAACAGAACAAAGAAGACTCATCGGTAATCAGTGTAATACTGCACTGTCAAACTGTAGCATTTTCCCATTAACGTTTTCTGTATATGTATTTTTGAATGTCTGCACAGTGATGAATCTTTTTGCACTCAGAATAAATTTTCATGTAACACTATTCTCATTATGGCTTTCCTAAAAGATTTTCTTTCCCTGGATTAAATGTGGACATGACATGAAGGATGTGCTGGGAATGTACAGTATGTATTCCATGAGATGTAATTTACAGTATATAGATAGTGTTACAGAGGTTGATCCATTTTGTAAAATGAAGAAAAGCTGCGCTGTATTTTTGTAATTTTCTCCATATTGTCAGGATGTCTTATTGTGATTTCTAAACCGGCGATGCACCAAAAGCCTTTATGTGCAACTTCGTCCGCTTATGCTGTTACCTGACTCTGTGTGTGTGTGTGTGTGTGTGTGTGTGTGTGTGTGTGTGTGTGTGTGTGTGTGTGTGTGTGTGTGTGTGTGTGTGTGTGTGTGTGTGTGTGTGTGTGTGTGTGTGTCAATCAAAGTACTGTAATTTGCAATCACACTTACTGATTAGTTCAAGCCAATCATCACAAAATCGCAGTTTCACTAGAGGAACACAATGGGCTTTTTGTCATGGCTGTAACAGAATTACATGTAGCACTTCAGCACCCACAAATGCATTCGTAAAACAGTATTGTTGACTTGTGGCCTTTTGTTTTGTTGGCATTGTAGTGACGTGTTGCATGGTTCTTGGTTCATTTTAATGAAATCACAGACTACACTCCACAGCCCTTTTTTGTGACAAGTAATTTGTTTTCACCATCAGTCTTAACTCACATGAACCATTTGATCACATGATTTTGCTTGTAAATGGATTTCAAATAAAGTGTATAATTGTTTGATGTGTTGGAATTGTTTGCTTGCATTAACCAAGCAGTTATGAAATGTTGACAGACCAAATAGCAAAAGTGAATAAGTGATTTATTTTGTTCTATAACTTTCAATTAAATCTACTTGAATAATGTACTGTTTAGAGAGGGATTGATCTAATTCAGTAGTTTATAGAGCTAACCATCTCTCACACTGGTCACATCTAGGTAAAAATAGAAACATTTAAACAAAAAATGAACATGACATATTCTTCGAACAAGCCCAGAGTAAAGACTTTGACATTTTTATTTATATATATATTATATATATATTTTGGCATTTTGCTATATTTTGATAGTGGCAGTAGAGAGAGACAAGAAAAGTGGGGGGAGAGAGGGGATGACATGTAGCAAAGGGCCTGGGACCAGATTTGTTTCACTCTGTGCTATGCAATACCCGAATATGCTATCTATTCATTTATAGTTCAAAATATTTCTAAAAAAGGCAGGTGAAGATTGATTGATGATAGTGAAGCAGACACAGGAATGAAAGAGCAATGTGCATAAATGTGTGTCCAACATGCACCCAATTTAAAAGGCCTTAAAATCGTAAAGAAATGGAAAGTGCCATTTTCCAGTGTGTTCATTTATTTGCCTGTTTGTGTTTTTTACTAGGTCTAAGGAGACATGAAGTATGATCATGATGGTGATGATAAAGATGACATTTTACAGGTGACATTTGCCAACAATATCCTCTTTGGGATTTCCACACATTAGTAGGGGTTCTTGTAGGTGTGATCCATGATGGCCATCAGAGCCAGCCAAGTCTCTGTGGCGGTGGGGATGATCTGGTTGGCTGGCAGGATGAAGCCGTAGCGGCCGGTGTCCCTCAGCTCGAAGGTGTAGGAGTACTTGATGCCCTGGTTGTAGGTCCAGTCGATGGTGCCACCGCTAGCTTGGTCTACAGCAAAACAGGTATTGTTCAGGGCATTTTCTATAAAATACAGTCCTTCAGGTGGCAGTCATAATGGAGGTTGTCAACTGTGAAGCATTAGTTGTGAACATCTGATTCCTTAATGTACAACTTGGCTGACTGCCTCAATGAAATCACCACTGGTTTCCAATGGGTATGATTTATTACACAGTTAAAACCAGTGTGTAGAATTTAAATTCATGACTTTGGCATCCCCCAGTGTTAGTATGAAAGAAGAAACATTGCACATTTGGTTTACAAAATGACCCAGCTGGTTAGTTTACTATCAAATCCTTAATCCAGTAATCTTTGTTTAGACTGAGAACATGTTTACCAAGCTGCGTAGATCTGAAGGGGCTGAAAATGACTTTGTACTACTTAATGTTACTGATATATATAAAGAGAAAAAACTTGGCTGCATGTTGGTTGGATACCTAATTTTTCAGGTGGCATTGGCCATTTGAATAAAGTCAAATGAATCTATATTATAAGCAGTTTTGCTGAAACTTACAGATGGTGTTGATGATGCTGCCGTATCTGTATCTGGTACCATACAGGGAGGCCAGGTCAGTGATAGCCTTCTTAGCCAGATTGTGCTGTGGGAAGACATTACCATGATCACATATGAACTTCTATTCATAGTATCTCATATTGCTTCTGCATATTCTTACATTTCTAACATTACAGGCAAACATTCACCGGGACAGCAAAACAGATGAGCCCAGAGAAGAAATCTACAATCAGTTTTACCATTCTCAGTTTCCAGGTTCTCTGTAAAGAATTCATAAAAGGAAAAGAGTGTGATTTATACCAGCTCATTCTGGTCCCTGACTGGAGTCTTGGTGTAGCCGTAGGGGTACAGGAGCATCTGGGAGTAAGAATGGATGGAGACGAATGACTTGAAGTTACCGTGGGACTTCACAAAGTCCACAATGGACCTGACCTCAGACTCAGAGTGAGCACTGGGTCCATGATAGGTCTCTGAGCAGGGATTTCTGCTGGCACCAGGTCCTGCACAGGGATGACAACAGAAAGTGCATAAAAAATGGATGCCACCATGTTTCTATAAACAACCTTTCCGTACTTGGTTCCTTAGATACTAATACTCATGGTACAAGTGTCTCCATAAACTGCAAAGAGATTAAACATCATGTACTAACCATAATGACTCAACCACCAAAACATGCGTGTTACTTATTTTATAAAATTTACATTGTGTCCTCTGCATGTCGAAGAGCAATTTGTGACAAATCTGTTTAACTTACCTTGTATAGCTTCCTGTTTAGCGACACAGTGTGAAGGTAATAAGAATGTGCTACTTTGGCATCATCTGGTGGAAGTATTAAAAATGGCACTGGCAAACAGCAATGCACCTCACTAATATCCTACATGCAGTAATTTATAAATACGAGTCCCCTGTACCAGTACCCTGCAAACATTTGCACCTAAACCTAAGGGTGTTACAGACTATTTTTATATGCAACCTAAAAGTTAAGTTTGCACAATAACCGATATGACATTAAATAGAATTACAGTAATATATATATAATGATTGCTGTATTGTAATCGATTATTTGACCTTGAAAAGTTCATCTGAACAGAAGCTGTGCCCAGGATTTCTTGAATATTGAGTGGTTGTCTTTAGCCCTGATGTCAAAATATCAGTGAAATTATTTTATTTTATAAGACATTTATTCACAAAACATGTGAGGATGTAGAGATTGAATAGTTGAAGACTGCATGTTGGGAAGTCTCTGTTGTGACCTGACCTCGAAGTGGCGACCTGACATCTGTTCAGTTTTTCATTTGGGCTTTCAGTTTTTCGACCCCCTGATGTTTCAACATTGAAATTTTTGCAGGAATAGGTTTGCAGTATCAAAAGTAATTCTTGATAATGGCATGTGGTGCCTTGGTACATTTCGGGTACAAGGCAAAGACCTTACCTCCAAAACCAGCATCCCAGTTCCTGTTGGGATCGACTCCCACACAGCTTGAGCCAGGGTTGGGTTTCCTGGTCTTACGCCACATACGGTTCTGGTAACATCAGAATAACTCATCACTTTTATATTACAGGTTCCTTTCTTTTTCATACCTTTTATTTATCTATTGATTATTAGATGGGTTTTATTATTTTAACACCAGTTCCTGTCTTTATGTAGCTTTAGTGAGCATATGTTACATTTGAACCTGAAAGGATCTAGTATCACCTACACAACTCATGAACTTACCCATGTCTAAAAAAATCACTGTATACAGTAGTTAGTGAGAGTAATACAGGGATTGCATGTATTTATTCATGTCCTTGAAAATGGAATACGAAACATAACATGCTCAAATTCACATAGAAATTAGACAACACTGTCTAATTGAGAGATATGACACCTTTGAACCTAAACAGGGGCGGGAAACCCTGTAGAAGCCTTGAATAAATATTGTCAATCAAAAACCTAAATGTGGCAGGAAATAATAATCAGATAGTACAAAATCTTAGCAATGAGAGACTCACGCTGTTGTGGGTGTAGTAGTACCCATCAGGATTGGTCACAATCTCCAAGAAGATGTCCATCTTGTTAAGGATGGCGGTGAGAGCAGGGTCACGTCCATAATCAGTCACAATCTACTCGCAGAAATGTAAAGAACATAATATTCAGTGCAGCAGGTTAGTGGTCAGAAGCTGGGGAGACGGGGAAGAAGAAACAGAAACAGGAGAAATATCTAAGCACCTTTTTGGCAAACCAGGTGCCACTGGCCTGAGTGACCCACTCTCTGGAATGGATTCCAGTGTCAATCCAGATGGCGGGACGGTTGGTTCCACCAGTACTGAACTAAGACACAGAAATGGAAAGGAAGAGTCAAACAAAATGAGAATTAATGAGTGAACATACATTCTTTTATAATTATAGTCTTAATTTGCTAGACTCAGCCTGTTTGTTTTATTTACCTTGAGCACATTCAGGGGACGACCCTGGTAGCTCTGACCGATCACGATCTTGCTGACCATATTGGGATTCTCAGCCACCAGCATGTCCTGGAAACTGTAGATCTAAACCAAAGACAGAATCCTGGTCTTTGATTTCATGTGCATCAACTGCGAAGGACATCATTCTGTATAGCGCTGTCTGGTCTTAAGTGAGTTTAAATCATTTGCTGAAGTCGGCATTACGTTTCCCTCAAAAATGTATTTGCTGCAAATTAGTTAAACATAATTTTTAAGAGACAAGGCAGGTTACAAGGAGTCAGCTGAGTAGAGGTTCTCCAGGTACATCAAACTGGTAGGAGACCAAGGGGTAGGGCCAGAACATGGTGGAGAGATTATAGACCTAACTATATTCTACTATGTCCCGGCCCCAGATAAGCTTCAGAAAATGGATGGATAGGCTTTTAAATTTTATATATATTTGTTTTCAAAATTTACTGGATATACAGAAAATTATATTTTAGTTTTGGTGAAATCATTATTTTAGTTAGAGGGTTATTGCCACACTTGAGGGAAAAGTCAACTGGCATGCTTGACTCTACACAAACAAAGTCTTGAAAAAAACATTTTATAAATTGAGCCTAAAAAGGTTTTCATCAAAAAAATAAAATTAAATTAAACATAATCAAATCCATGGATTACAATCACTGGATTTTTTATCAGAATCAGAATCAGAATCAGAAATACTTTAATAATCCCCGTGGGAAATTACTTCAGACATTATATCAAATTATTACTATTCAATGTATGATCACTACAAATAACATACTTCCTTTATGCATTAGAACCTAGAATTAAGATTAAGGGAAGCCAGTGGCCAGAGTGAGTTTGTGTACTAACCTCGTTGATGGGGTGGTACCTGGAGTAGTCATAGCTGTCAGTGTTTCTGGGCTCAGCAACACGAGCAGCAGACTCCATCTCTTCCTGCTCATAATCCAGCATCACCTACAGGACAGTGACATCATTCATATTTGAGTTACATTTCTTTATTAAATCCATTGAGGTTGAGTTTTGGCCCCAAATCTGACATCTGAAGAACTATAAACCGAGTGCAGTAAATTCAGCTTTGTTCTAATTCAAGCGTGGCTATTTGCAGGTCTCGCACCTGCAGGTCTTCGATCATGATGGAGTACACAATGTCCTGAGTCTCGAGGTAAATTTTGACCGACTGCAGGCTGTGGAAGGGAACTCTGACATCCACAGGTGTGGCCACATCAGTCACACCCCTCCAGAAGTCCAGCTGAAAGAAAACACAGATAGCTTTCATAAGTCTAATCAAATTCCAATGTATTCACTGAGTTCTTGGATCAAATAACCTGAGTTATTAAATGAAATAGATGAAAATTCTTTTGAATTATTGTTGGTGGATGATGAATGACCTCGAACTCAATACTGTCCTCCAGGTCCTTGATAAGAGACAGCTGGACATCGTCTTTTGGAATAATGCGAAGCACCTGGTGCCTGCAAAAAGAGTACCACAAAGTTTTACATCGTTTTACTCAAGTTCACTGACCAAAGATTGGCACACATGGTATGAAGTAAGATTTCTGAAGGCTGGATGGTTCTGCTTAGTTTTGTTGTTGCAACTGTTTGATTGGCAGAGCAAAAGGACTTCCCAGGGTGCCAGGTTCGATTTCCAGATTGGCTTTTATCTACTTGTTTTACATGGGATGACTTACATGTGTGGAATATGTGAAGGATTTAATAATAATAATAAAATATTGATATTTATTATCCAGATAAATGATGTCCAAATTAACCAAATTTCCTAATATCTGATCGGGGTGTAGATTAATAGAAGTATGCAGAGAGGGGCTCTGGCTGGCCCACTTACCCCTCATATGTCTCCTTGCCGAGAACGGCCACAAACAGCGCGGCAAATGCGAGCAACCCCCTCATCATGACCAGCAATGTGAACCTGGCAGGGCCGAACCCGGGCTTATATGGCTGAGTGTGCCAGGTCACGTGTCCAAACCTCAACCTTGCTTAAGGTGATGGAGGTGTGTCAGCAGCTGTTCTCTTTCTCACACCAGCCTGGAGATATCAGAGCAAAAGTTGCGTCATGTTTTCGACATATCTGCAGTTGTGTTCAGTTTAAAAGAAAAAGGAATGTCCTGTTTGTCTGGTTCCTTAAGTTAATTACATGTTATGTGCACAAAGAGGAGCAAATTAAAGAATCCTAAAGAGTTAAAACTGAAGTTGAATTATCTGCTGTATCAATTCATCTGTCAGGTATTTTTGGATGAATTGTTTACTCAACTCAATGATATAAAACAGAAAAAAGCAAGAAAATCTCACATTATTATTAGTTATGTATGTGTTATTATACATACCATGTCATCAACATTCTTTTATAAAAAGGTTTCTCTATAGCACCTGAAAGGATTCTGCTAATTATTCATGATAAATAAATTCTTCTTCTTGCTGTAATATTTAGTTTTAAACATTTTATTTATAATTTTCTTTTTTAAAGAAATGTCGTGAATGTGAATGTGGCTGTATGACACATCACTGACACGTTTCAATGATTCTTTTATTGTTTGGGTCATCTGAACTTCGCAATAAGCCTTTATCTCGCCATTATATTTTGCCACTATATCCTATTTCCTTTTTCCTGTTGAAATGAATGAGTAGAAACAATAAAGTGAAACTAGACATGAAGTGCTCAAGCTCACGATGGAATATCCCCGCTCAACAGGAAGTTGTGGCTGTCCGCTGTGTATCTTTCAGCTTCCTCGCAGTTACTCTTGGGGCAAGACTGCTCACAGCAAGCAGCTTAAATGTGCTGAATTTAAACCAGCTGCTGGGATACATGTGCTGTGAACTCTGCATGTTAGCAGAGAAATACTTCCAGACATTAGACAACTTGAGATTTCAGCATGCAAACATTCACATCTGGTGCTTTTGCAGGCTTTTATTGCAAAATGAGATATCCACTAAAAAATGTGACACCAGCACTAAGTAACAGAACACCCACATCAAAGTAACACTCATCATTAACAATATTAGCCAGCTTTTGCCTTCTACTTCTAAAACGATCACATTTGAGTGTCGTTGAGTTTAAATATTGAGCAATGAACATCAGATAACACTTTCAGCATTTTTGAATTACTCTAAAATCCACTTCTTTCCTCATACAGACAACTTTGTATGTGCTTAACTCAAAGTATTTACCACACACTTAAGCAATGTAATCATTTAAGGCCAGTTCATATGATCGCAAAGTAAAGATCCTTGACATTACTCACTAATGCGACTTCTCTCCAATGTACATGTCCCACCAATCTGAAAGTTTGTGTTATGCAACCCAGCTGATAAGGACATTGCAGAGGAAAAGTAAAGAGACACAAGGCAAGACAGAGCTGGGTGTGGAAAACACCTGCAGGAAGGTTTCTGATTCACAGAGACTCACAGTAAAGCAGACAGCTTGTTTGTCCGGATCCATGTGTCCTGCTGAAGTGTCCTTGAGCAAGACACTGAGCTCAAGCCATCAGCTGCAGAAGTGTCTAAGTTCTGTTATCATCACAGTGAAACAGCATTTTGAGCATGTCTGACTTCCTTATTTTGGTGAAGCCTTTTCTTATCTGGTGGTAAAATGTAGTCAAGAAATATTTTTTGCACTGGACTCCCAGAATGAAAATTAGTTCTATATATCGCTTATGATACCAGCAAGTAAAAACAGAATGATTTTATACAAGAAAATGTGTATCTATTTAGTTAGTAGATCTATATGAACATATCTATATGAAGGCATGAGCTATATTTTTGTTTCCATAGAACAACAGCAACTTCTAATTGCAACTGAATGATGACTATGCAGTGTACCAGAGAAGTAAGACCACCCAGTTAGATGAACAACAGTGGTCAGTGGTCCAGCTTTAAAGTGCCCTTTTATGTTTTAAAGCTGCAGTCCATAACTGTAACTACAGCAAAACTAATGGAGACTCTAATGAACATTTGGGAATGTCTTCAGACAAGTTGTTGGTATGCAATTAAAATATATGGAAAATATTTAAATTTGAAACCAAATATTAAAAAGGACACATAAGTTATAAAGTCAGAGAGCCAATATAGACACTAGGGGGCCAGGGTGCTGTACACTGGTGGATTCCAGGTCCTCCTAAATAGTTAATAGTTCCTCATGCATTTCATTGAAGAGGTGGAGTAGTTATACTCACATAATAAAACTATTTGATCCTTATCCAGGGTTTGTAACTGTTTCACCATAAATGCATCAGAACTTTCTGCGTGCTCGTGCCTTTATTATTTTATTCACCCCTGCCCCTCAAATAAACACTGTTGATACTGTATGCTAAATATGCTAGTTATAATAATGAGGGCACAAACACTCTGAACATGGCTGTAGAGAAGCACTAGTAAGAGCTAAAATGGGTAGGGGAGGGTGAAGAGCAAATTACCCGACTCACATGTTGTCAACTTGTCTTTGGTGCCATCACAATGTTACAGTTGTTCATGGTGATTCAATAAGTCCCCAGAACTAGGCTACCTCAAAATAGATGGTCAGTGAGTGTTTTGTTTGCAACCTCCACCATACAGGTAGATAAAATGATAATATGTAATTATTTTAAAGGTAAAAATTTTACCTTTACTTTTTTTAGACTGTGCAGACTGAAATCCAGTGCCTGTACACTCACACTGTTGCAGCCACACTGCGTGGTTTCAAGCTGATAAGGTGGGTTTATTTTTAGGTGTCATATGATTGTTGTTAAGGCTAACTTTAAAGTGTATTTTGATCCATCTGTCCATTTTCTAACCCCACCCATTTTTGCTCAGGGTCACACAAGGCATTAGTGGCCATCTTTCTGAGTCATTTACTTTCTACATGTTAAAGGCTCATTAAAGTTCATAGCTTCGTCCAGCTTCGCAACACATGATGAGGTTGTTTTATGTTTTGGATACTGCAGAAGAAATGACAACATCTCTGGAAACGAGGGGAAAACAGCTGTCTGAGAGTTTATAGAAGCTAAAACACTTGTATTACAGATGTTCATACCAGACAACATAGATCAGACATCACAGTGAAGCTGTTCCTGAAAAACAGCATCCACACTCGTTCAACATCTTGACAGAACAGAATCTACAATCTGACCTGTCAGGGTGTGACAGTGTGTGTCATTGGAAAAGGCCAGCAGCAGTTCACAGAGGAAGTTGCTCACCACATTGTTTCCTGTGACTGAGGCAACACTGCAGCTGTTTGACAGGCGTTTCTGTACGAACCACGAAATATCAGATCACTGAACCAACCAGCTGTGGTGTGTGGTTTGTGTCACTGTGTGTGTGTGTGTGTGTGTGTGTGTGTGTCTGTGTGTTTATTCCAAGGTGTATCCTACTAGGCTACTGCATTCAAAAATGCAAAAAAAAAAAAGACAAAAATTTACCACATTTATTGATTTTTTTTTTCTTTTTTAATAATATCAGTATGAGGGAAATAAAAAACAAACTCTTTGGAAGAAAAAAATCAGAGCTACTGCAGGTTGAATCTGTCAAAACACCATAACGTCCTTTGTTACGACAAGAACACGCCTCTGCTGCTCTCTGATTGGTTGTCCTGTCCATTAGTGCCCTCTTTCTCCATTCCTATTGGTCACAATGAAGATCTATCATAGCGGAAGTGCCGCCTAGAAAATCAATGAAAAGTGAACGGAGACCTGCGGAGTTAAACCCGCGTCAAGCTAGAGAGAGGATGTAAACATGTTTACGAAAGTGGGAAAACTTCATCTTCAAAATAAAAGGCAAAACAAAATGACAGCAACGCAACACATCTGTATTCTGGTTTTTAGACTGAATATGTTTTCCAATACGTTTCATGAATATGAGCCCATTTTGCACCTCCCATAGGACTAATGCTAATGCTTCATTTAGCCACAGAAGTACTCATGTAAATGCATATCATGTTACCTTTTACTAATTCCACTTATTATATCTGTATATGATAAGTCTAAAAGTCTTAATCTTTCTGTTTCTTTTATTTTACATACAACTATTTTAAATTTTCATTACTTTTTTTTGTGACTCAAAATATTGTTTGTTTGCTACTTATTTACATCTACTGTATGTACATATGTAGATAGACCATCGATGTGAGAGCTATGCCTTTCGAACAACGGTCTTATTTTGAAAACCCTGACCGGAAACCGTTCAGTTGATTCGGTGTAACTTGGCAGCTGTGCGGAGTAGGACCTCCGAAGAGAAAACGGAGAGTGAACCGGGTCGCTGTATCATTTCTCGGGTCCGTTTCCTGTCAGTTTTTGGTTTTGACAGCAGTTTTAGTTGCTCTGTTCGCGTCGTCTGGACCGAGTAAACCCCGAGCTGACAGACACAAAAATGGAGATAGAGAAGGAAGTGAAGAAGGTAAGCTTTCCCCCCCCAGCGTACTCTCAGACTCAGACTGACCGGGGAACGCCCTGAGAAGGTGTGCCGAACGAGGGGCAGGTGGCGACAAAAGTTTCTGTATCATAGGCAGACTTTATTTCTTTGCTTTCACTTCAAGTGTGTTTCAAGTCATCTTTTTTTTGCGTTTTCGTTGATGAAATTGGAATTAAATTATATAAATAACGAGCTAACGTAACAATAAATTCCAGTTGATAGATATTCGCGAGCACTTGTGTTGTTTATTGGTCTGAAAAAGTAACCCAGTACCCTCCTTTAGTAGGGAGCTTACTTCCTTTTTTAAAATATCACATCCGAAAGATCTGAAATAAAACTGTAGTGGTAGTGTCACCCTGTCTATCAGCAAAACTCACAACCTCTGTTAGCAAAATAATTGAAGATATTAAAAAGTTCTGCACGGATATTGTGAACAGTTTTGTTGACATATCATTGATGTTCAACAACTCTATTATTCTTATTTTCGAGGGCTAAAACAAGTGCTGCTGTTTCAGTTGCTACTCTCAAAGATATCAAGAATGTATACCTCTTTGTACTTAAGATATAAACTGAAGGGAGGTTTCAATGGGATTTGGTCATACAAGGGAGGAGGGGAAGCTATGTAGTCTGTTCTGGGACTTGAAGATGTTAAGGATGGTCTCTGAAAGTGTGCGATTTACTGTCCCAGACATTAAGAACAGACTGCAGAGCTAGTCCAATAGATGTTCATTCATTTCAGATCAGAGAGTTTATTTTAGATGCACATCCTTGCTTGGCACGCTGCATTCTTTGGGCTTCCTGCATGCACCAGATTCCTCCTGCTTAGTCTACTTCTGACCCATGGATGATCACAGTGTAACTAATTGGAAGTTTATGCATTGCTGGGATTGTTCAGTGTATACTTCAGTCTGTAATAATGTACAGCGCAATCCAAAACCTATCATCAGTAGCTGAACTGTAAGTAAATTGTGAGTGAGAGAAAACTTCAAATTAGTAGTTTAAAACCTCTCTTTTAGTGACCTGGGGGGCCCTTTCTGGGGGTCATTTTCTCTGCAGGGGTTGTTGGTAAGCCATGCTGTTAAAACATCTTATATGTGTTCTCCTGAGCTACGGGATCCTTATGTAAACCTGCAGATAGCTGGCAGCAGTGGAAGGGCAGAACAAGTTGCTGCAGGGGTAAACCGTGGTTTGTGTGATGGGATGCACGTAGCAGGCAAGTTGCAGCACCAGTCATTCAATACGTTATTGTATTTGTCATCACTTTGGCTGTACAAGTCACTTTAAACTACATTTAAAATCGTGTCTGCATTGGGAGTCTGTGTGTACCAAACACCAGTATGTCTCCAGAATAATTCATGTAATTCTTGCTTTACATGCAGCAACAAACTGTGAATTAAAATGATGTAAAGCATATGATGATACTCATACTGCGTGTGTGGCATTAAAGTGATGTATAGTTTGCTGATCACAATGTCTGCTATCCCATGATTCACCAGTTACTGTGTCTTTCTGCGAGGTCTTATTTGAGTCTCTCTTTCTTTTTATTTTGGCACTCCCTCTGTAATAGAGCCGACATTTATTCATCAATTTACCAGTTGCTGATCATTGAGACTTGAAACAAAGTCAACTCCATTAAGGCACAGGAAACTCCTTTATACAGTATATACAGTAAGCTTCTGCTGTGAAGTGGGTCTGAGCAGCTGGATGACCCAGACAGCCCCAGTCTGACATCTGCTATTAATCCCTGGAGGAGATACGTCTGCAGAGGCTACAGGCCACTGAGCCTGGTGTAATTACTGTCAAACTATAACTGCCCTTTTTAAGAAATGCAGCTTATGTGTTTAGGTAATATTATGCTCAATTTAGCTCATGCAGTCTTCCAAAAAGACCACTGAGGTAGTAAGTTGTAACTGTGAGCACACTGTGTACAGGCTAGGAAATCATCATCACTGCAATTTCTGGTGATCTCTCTCTGTAATTTTCTTCTCTAAACACCTAAATGGTTGTTGAGTTTAAGGAAACATTTTGAACAGAGAAGAGTTACGTAATCCCGGGTTTGCTCAAATACATTTTATATTTCTCGGTTATGGACTGACAAGCAGTCATACAAGTACCACCTGCAGAACAAAACAGAAAACTGATATAAAAATAATAACAATATTAGATAGCTGAGCATCAGAGGAATGTGCGTTGTTATTTCGGTGTCATTGTACCGCCTGCAGAGTCACCAGCCAGTAGTTGACCTTAATTGATGTTTTGCTTATTTAATTTCAAGGGATGTGTCCCTACCACACCCTACTAGCCAATCCTTGCTTTCCCCATGCTTTGTCCTTTCTCTGCAGCCAGAGCCAGAAGCTTCAGTGGGTCAATGTTCCAGTGTGGCCTGTGCAACCACTTTCCACTGGATAGGTGAACTCCCTCCAGCCTGCTTGTGAGCCCACAGCTGCTAGGCAGCCGCCATTCCTCTTACCATGGAACAGTTAATTTGTGATGGCCGTCATAATACAGGGGCACAAGGGCACGATATCTGGTCGGTTGGATGTTGTGGTGATCTATTGATATTGGAGAAGCAAGATGTCCTGGTCTGAGAGCAGGTGGCCTGCTGAAGTTAAAATGGCTCCATGGCGAGTGACTACTATCATTACAGCTGCCACTGGTCTGCAGTGCAGGCCTGCTGCAACCAAATGACTCATGAATATGACTCACTGGACCTGAACTGTATACTCTGTGTCTGAACAACCTCTTGGAGTGTTGTCATCGGAATTATTCACCCTGCAGGCTTAGTCATAATACAAAGTCACTGATTAACATAAACTTTTAACAAAGTTTGTAAAGGAAAGATGCACACATACACACACACACACACACACACACACACACACACACACACACACACACACACACACACACACACACACACTGAATGACATCAGAAAAGAAATGGCCTGTCGTCCTCACTATGCCCAAGACAAATATTTAGACTCCCACAAGTAGTGAACACTTAGCTTGGTTCATTTTGAATCCCCACACTTACTTTTGCATTTGAGGTATTTGGCTGATGATTTTATCCCGAATGTCTTAAAGGAACACCGTAGATTATCTGAAAGTGACAGATCACAAACTTTGCATGCAAGATGGAGTGCAAGTATGTAGTTCATACAGCACTCTGAGGGGAGTCAGTGGATCTAACTACAATATATGCCTTAGTAGATAGCTTTGTAATCTTGTTCAATCATATTCCTTGTTTATGGAATGTTGTTTAACAGCTATCAACGTGCTTCCACTTTTAGCAGGATTCTGTAAGGCGAGGCAAAGTGAAAGTGCAAGAATCTTAAGTGGCGTGTGCAACTATACAAAGATTCACTGATGTGTTTGCCGCTTTAATTATCATCACAAATCATACTGTTAAACTCCATTCTTCTGCTCCTCAGTGGTTCCCAGGGGAGGAAAGTCTCGCTAGTGTGGAAGGTGTAATGGAAGCTAAAATATTGGCAAACAGGAGTCACTGTCTGCATTCCTCAGCAGTGAGTGTCTTTTGGGTCAAAAACAAATCCCCGACAAAAGGGTTCCTGCTGGGATCCCACGAGGCTTTCAGCAACATTGAATAGCTGTCCATAAATGGTCATAAACAGCATTAATGGCTTAAGGTAGACATGAGCTTTGTTTGACACAGAAGCCAAAGCAGCACAGACTCACCAGCAAGAAAACTGGAGAGGATTCAGATTTCTGAGTGCAGTTATGGTGATTTAAGAGAAATGTTGCCGAAATATTTCTAAAGGCAAAAAGAAAAGTATTCGCTCGGTTCACAGTTCACATGAATTCCAACAAGAAGCCGGAGAGTGACATTAAAACAGGGGTTTTCCCCAAACTAAGGTTATATTGTCAAAAATGATGTTGTTTATTTATCCCGAGTAGTGTGTCCTGGTCCTGTGACTTCTGCTGTTGCTAGTCCTGTCCCTTCCAGCTTCCCAAAAGAGTCTGGGTCCCTTGAGAATTCCCAATTTGATATTGGGCGTGCCGCACCAGAACACATTTTGGAATGCCCTGCCCTAAGGAAGCTTTTCTGTGGTTAAAACAAAACTGTGATAAAACTTGTAATCTCCCTCTTGTGCTCTGTTCACAGATGACCCTCGGCCATGAGTTTGGCGCTGGAGCGGCCTGTTTGAAATGCAAGGACAAGTGTGAAGGCTTCGAGCTGCATTTCTGGAGGTTTGTACAGCTTCTGTCAAGCAGCATAGAACCATCACACAAATAGGTTTGACAGTCGCAAGTCAGTCACTCTCAATCCATTGGCCTCCTGTGTCTACACTAGAGACATTTGGGTAATTAAAGTAAATGAGCAGCAACAGTAGTCAAAGGTGGTCAGTTGAGCAAATCACCGAACCCTCTGGTGGAGCCGCTTAGTGGCTCACAGTGAAATACTAACGTGATTTATGAAGTAGAACAAGAAAAACATGCTTATTCAGCACATTGTTTCTGGAGTAATACAATAAAAGCAAATACAACTTCCATTCATGGGCCACACTGGGCAATAAAATCACTTTCCACTTTGCTTAATTAAAAATATCTGACAGCAGCAGGAATCATGGCCTAAGGGGAGCATGCTGTTCCTGAGTACAGCTGCTCTTCATGTTGGTCTTTGAACACAGAGTCCCACGTCCCATCAGCTTATTGTTAACAAAAACGATGGAGAGAGTGGAAATATCGGGCCAGCGTGAGTCTACAGTAGATGATTTTAGGTCTGATTAGTGCTGAGAGTGGGAGGGTGGTCCTTCTGGTCCTGATTTTTTTTTTTTTAAATAACTGTAATTGGAGGCTGAGAACTGCCCTCTAACCCACAAAGATGCTCACAATAGTTATAGTGTAGACACAGTATTTAAAAAAACATAGCACAGTCTGCAAGCAGTCTGACTACCCAGGGTTCTCTGTCTCGCTTCCCATCACAATATATGCATTTGTTTGGACCAGTGGCTTATGAAATACTGTTCTGTCTGGACAATCGTCTACACATGGCTAGTTTTCCTGAAGACAGCAACAGGTGCCCTGATACCCACTGCGGCACCAGCACAAAGGCCACTAACTGGCACTAACAGTGGTTTTCCTGTGTCTGACATTCAGCTAGGAATGTTGTGCTGTTACAGCCGGGCAGTGGCTTTAATTGGCATGTTGAATGTGTAGGGATCTACAGTGTACTGTAGTGTATATGCATATAAAGGCGGTGTTTGCATACTGTTCACATGGAAGGGTTTTCCACCGAGTTTAAGGCATATTCATAATTTGAATATATTTAATTACCATCAAAGGTTATCAAAGACAGAGGAGAAGGAGATGACAAGGAAATGCACTCAACACAGCTGTTAGACCTCAAGGATACACACAGTGTGTTTTGATGAGTAACACTAAATGTATACGTGATGTATGATAAAAGTTCACCAGACTGAAAGATAAGGTTTTTAGTTTAAGAATCAATCTTTCTGAGTTAATAGGTGATCCTTGGTTATAAAATATCTGTTGTACAGAATGATCTTTTTACCTAAACTTTGTTCTTCAACAGTACTTTAGGTTGTTTTTTCCCTCAGCTTTTACTAAAGACGAAGTCATGCACCACTTCAAAATGATGGTATTGAGAAGTTTAGACTTTTCCTGAATATAAACTCTTTCATTATTGCTGTTTGTTCTCACCTATAAGAATCAAACTTCAACTTTAGCTGTTTAAACAGCTTGACACTGCTGAGAGAAATCCAGGTCATGCTGAAGCGTGCCCAGCAGTCATAAATTATGTCATAGGTACTCTACAAATATGAAGCTAGTTGTGTTGAGGCATGTGAAAAGTGCTTTTTTTTTTAGACTGAGCTTTGGAGAACTGGTATAGTGTTGTAACAAAGTTGTGGTAGATTTTAATTGTTGTATTCTTCAGTTTGTTTACTAAATATAATCTAATCAGTTAAGAGAGTATAAGGAATGTAAAGCTTATTTATACGGTGGCCCAGAGGTGTCGAACAAACTACAAAAGCCACAATACGAATAAATCACTTTTTATAAATTAAATGTTAAACATGAGGCTGTGTACATCTACAACACATACATAAACAATCTTTCCCTCTCTCACACTAAAAATGAATTATAAATACTTTTGAAAAGTCCTAAATGTTTTCCTCTCCTTCTCCTCTGCAGAAAAATCTGCCGAAACTGTAAATGTGGTCTCACAGAGCACAATGTGCAGATGAACTCGGAGGAGAACAAGAAGGTAGGCAAGCTGTTCGAGGACACCAAGTACACTGGCCTCATCGCCAAGCTGAAGACAGATGGCATCCCCAGCTACAAGGGCAACATGATGACCATCACTCTTCCCAGCCCAGCTACTGCTCACGTTGTAATGCCGAGTGCTTCTTCCACTGTGGTGCCCCCCTCTGCCACATCTGGTTCTGTACAGCCTGCTGGAGCCACTGCAGGTACAGCACCCAGCGGCGCTCAGGCACAGGCTCAGGCTCAGGCTCAGGCTCAGGCTCAGGCTCAGGCCCAGGCTCAGGCCCAGGCCCAGGCTCAGGCTCAGGCTCAGGCTCGGCCTGTACCAGCCAACGTCACACCCGTCAAGGCTAACAAAGTGCCGGTGGCTGTCAGCACCACATCAGCCAATGTGGTACCAGTCCCCAAAGATGTGCCAATGAAGTCTGTCACCTATGAGTGGGCACCGCCAGTAGCCAATAAGTATCTGGTAAGTGTTCAAACTAGTGCTAAATGACTGTAAGTTTTCAGAATCAGGAATACTTTATTGATGCTCACACTAATTAACACTAACATTAAAGAATAGAAATAATAATTATATTACAATATCTAACAATATATAGAAATACAAATAGAAATATATATATCGGTATATACATATAAAATAAAAATAGAAAATAGAAAAAAATGGAAAATAGTCAAAAATAATAAAAGTGTATATATATATATATATGTTATAATACAATATGAAGAAGATAATCGATTAACTATTTAATCAATCAGAAATACCAACGATTTTCTTTTTCAAGCTTCTCAAATGTGATTATTTCCTTATGTTTTATATCATTGTAAATTGAATATATTTGGGTTGTTGACTGTTGGTTTGACAGAAATGTGAAAACAAGGCTCTGGGAACTTGTGATAGACTAAACTATTAATGGACAAAACAAACAAAAATCATTATTAGCTGCCTAGTTGAACCACAAGGAGAGTTTGTAGGGATTATATTGTTTATTGTGTGTTAAGTGGCAATTAGGATCAGCTAAAGCTTGAATCTACATCTACATTTTTTGTGGGGGATGCAGTTTTCATCACCCAAAACGTAACTTTTGCCTTTACTCACTGGTAGCCTGTGCCTTCAGTTTGTCCCAATCAGCCAAAGACAGCTCTCTGCTGTGACTATTGAAGTGACATCATGTGGGTGTATGTTCCATTTAAAGGCTTTGTAATCAATTATTGATTGCCGTATGTTTAGTGTGTTAGTGTTTAGTACACTGTGGTCACAGGAAAACTTTGGCATTTTGCCTAGCCCTAATTAAAACCAGACGGTCAATGCCTTTTATTAATTCTAAAACATAGCCTGTTGTCTTATTACGTTTATAAACTGTTTACAATAATGACAGCAAATATTAACTGAATCTTACCTGCTCACTTGTTTAAAAGGTGGACCACATTATATTCCTCTCAAATTCTTAACCTTAAAATGACTTGCTATTCACGAATCTGGATTCAGCCGGTGTGTTGCCCTGGCTTTAAACTTGACTCAGCTGTTCATAAGTAAAGACTGAGACCGACCATGTGCATAATCATTTTAGTACAGGAAATGAATTGCAAGGATACATTTAACTGCTATCTGTGAATCTGCTTTCTGCTTTTTCTTATGTGATGTGTACAAGGTATGTTTCGTTTGCACGGCACAATGATAAAGTTTTACAACACTTTTGAGGAACTTTGGGGCTTCCCATAAAGGTCTTTGTCCAAAAGAGGCCCCAATAACAGACAATTTAGTCCTTATAATTTATGTAATAATAAAAAATGATTTATGTCAAGAGCTCTAACCATTTCAATCATTTCCTGCTTGGACTTACTACAGAACTTTAAAACTCTGGAAGTAAGTCATGTATCTGTTTGTTTAGACTACTACTGTATCTCTAGGACCTTTGTTTTGCATGTCTTTCTCACCACACACCTCTGTTTCTAAAGTTTTTTCCAAGAATTCCCCTTACTCTATTTCTGATTGGTCCTTTACTTCTCTTTATGCACTCTTCACATCTCTGTCCTTCACACTACCTGTCTTTATCCCATCTCAATGGCTTCTTCAAAAATGTTCTCTGACTTCCAGGCGGTGCGCTACATTGAGCTGCTCCCGCCAGAGAAACGTCCGGTGGCCGGTACAGAGGGAGCTGCCTACCGTCGGCAGCAGATGGCCCGCCAGCTGCCTGAGCATGACCAGGACCCGTCCATGTGCCATGAGCTGACCCCGGCAGAGGTCAAGCAAATGCAGCAATACGTCCGCAAGTACAAGGACGAGGCCTTGGGGGTTGGAGATGTTATGCTGCCCGAAGAGATGGCTCTGGTTCAGGCCGGAAGGCAGGGTGCAGCTGGGGAAGGGGCTGGAGGTGCACCGGGTGCTGGAGGGGCAGGGTTTGGTACACCTGGAGCTGCTGGTGGTGGAGCTGGAGGGGCTGGGTTTAGACCAGGTGTTGGTGGTGCTGGGGTTGGAGCTGGTGCTGGAGCTGGTTCTGGGCCAGGGGGTGCAGGTCCTGGTGTTGGGGCTATGGTCGGAGCTGGAGCTGGTTCTGGCTTTGGACCTGGAGCAGGGCGTAGCGGAGCTGGAGCTGGCGCTGGAGCTAGACCTGGTGGTGCTGGAACACTTTCAGGTCCAGGTGTTGGACCATCCGACCATGGAGGAGCAATGGGTACTACTGCCACTGCTGGAGCCATGGGCGTCCCTGGAGCTCAGCAAGCTGGACTGCCACAGCAGAGCTTTGTAAGCACTTTATATTCATTGATCAATCTGGCTGTTTATCAGTCTGTCACTTTGCTGTACATCTACACTCTGTCGGCATCCAGGCCAGTAAACAAACATCGATTGATTCATTTTAATAATAAAAGGGTCTTTTGCAAATGGTTTTAGAAATGTAATGACCAAAGAAAGGGAAAAAAATGATGCCATTTTTCTTTGGTATAATATACTGTGCATTAACGAATGAAAATATATTGCAAGAACACAGTCATATGTTGTAGCTACAATTTAGTAGGTAGCAGAGTGGAACATTTGGCAGAAGCTCCCTCACTGAGAAGACCCAGGTTCAGGCTCCCATAATAGCAGGCATCCAGTCGGCAGAAATGTCTTTGTACAATTACAGTAAAATCCTCTAGGGGCACTAGAGGACTAATAAAGGATAGTAAATCAATGCAATAGTCCTTAAACTTGAGTTCAAAAAATTATTTATTATTACTTCTCAACTTTGGCAACAATCTGCACCAGTTTTTGTTTAATGACAGTAACAGTTCTCACAGAGAGGATTACACCCGGTACTGTTTTAATGCTTTACAACAGAATAATGCTTCTGGTTCTCAACCACCATCTACTTGCATCCCCTCATCACAGATCATTTTGAATGTCCACCAAGTAATATTTTACTCCTTTTCTCCTCTTTTTTAAAAAAGGAAAGTAAATGTATATAGCAGAACTATATTTTTATGCTCCCTTGTAACATTAATCATCTCACGACCCATCAGATTTATCTGACGGTTGCAAAGTCTCTCATGAAGCTGTGATTATCTCCTCTCATTACACCAGTTAATCATGTAAGTGCTAGTAAGTTCATAGTTTAGGTAAAATGAATGTATGTGATGTATGTACAACCAGATGACTAAATTATAGTAATAAGGTAGATTTACCCTGTTTTTCAACACTGCATTCATTACTGTTGGTAATGATTACAAACAATGTGTTAGTCCTAGACAGGACACTAGGTGGAGCCATAAGACCAAGCAAGACTCGGCCTTCTCCATTCAAGATGATGGATAGTGATTTCATTATAATTTACGTCCTGAGTCACAACTTGAGTTTTTTTTTCTGCATCTGTTCATCACCATGTGCAGTCAGTTAATGCTTGCTGTATGGAGTCTTATGATTTATTCCTGTTTTTAGTTCTGCTGTGACTCATGTATTAAGAGAGGGTTTGATACTGAAACAAGAAGAAGGTTATGGAAGAGTAACAGTGGGCATATGTCCAACATCTCTTTTTTTTTTCTTTTCTCCTGTATTTTTCTCCATGTTGCCGTCCTCTTTCCCTTCTGTTACAAGCTCCTTGTCTTTTTCAAGCTGTTCTTATATTCTCTTTCTCGCTCTCTTACCTGTATCCTCCCTCTTAATTCCTCATAGTATCCATGGCTGCGCAATGTCAAGAACACAGTCTTCTCTAAAGGCAGGGAGTGTTTAACAACTTTATATTTCCTTATCTCTACCTTCGCCCCAACTCCAACAGTGGTCATCTCATCTTAATTGACAACACCAGGGTCAGGTCACAGTGGCTGTGCCTCTGTGTTATGAAGGGGAATTCCACACATTTTCTGCAGTAAAATGTGTCATTCAGGGTGATCTAAGACAGAAAGTTCAAATGTTTCCTTTGTCAGATCAAAGGAGACCCTACTTGACTTTGAAATTAACTCAAAGTGAAGGATATTACCCTTTGTGTAAACCTCTGGGAGAAGTACTGGAAGTACATAATAATTGTTTGTTAGAACCAAAGGGTCTATAAGAAATATTTTCTGGACAGGATGTAACTGACTGTTCTGACACAGTTTTGTTTCACATATCCATATAATGGCACACATCATCACATTTGGCTCTGGGAACTCACAATGGGCGTAGTCTGAATGATTAATTAGAAGAAATCCATAGGTTATTGGAAAACGAAGATTATCATTAGTTGTAAGCCAATTATAAACCAACAAAGGACAAAATTGAATTAGATGATTATTGAGTTTCACATCACCTGCCAACGTTGGTAAGAAAATCCAAATGCACCACCAAACCAACCTTCTCTCCTTTACCTTCAAGTCGTGCCATCACTGCCAGCAGCCAATGCGTCTGGGCGAGCCAGCCGTCTATGCTGAGCGGGCCGGCTATGACAAGCTGTGGCACCCAGCATGCTTTGTGTGTTGTACCTGCAGCGAGTTACTGGTGGACATGATCTACTTCTTCAAGAAAGGCAAGCTGTACTGTGGACGCCACTACGGAGACAGTGAGAAGCCGCGCTGTGGAGGCTGTGATGAGGTGAGAGACGATATGATTATTTAAATTATTTGAACAGTATTTTGGAAGTTATTCATTGTTTTGTTTCATTAATTAATGAATGTCTATATCCACAGTTGATCTTCAGTAATGAGTACACTCAGGCTGAGGGCCAGAACTGGCATCTGAAGCACTTCTGCTGTTTTGACTGTGACTGCATTCTTGCTGGAGAGACGTATGTCATGGAGAAGGACAAGCCTGTCTGCAAGCCCTGCTACATGAAGAACTACGCTGTGGTGAGACAGACGTTCTTTCTTTCTCTGGGTTTCTGTTTGTTCAAATAGTTGAACCTTTACTAATTATTTGTTATAATATAAACCACAATTCAGATCCCTGACTACGTGCATTTTTAGCTTGAGTGGCCCTAATGAGGGTCACAGCCCAACCCTAGAAATCCTGTCCTGTTCTCAGGCACTGTTCTGTTCAGCCTGTTCAAGGCAAAGCAAGACACTTTTATTGGTATAACTACTTTCAACAACACAGCAGTTTGTTTTACACAAGACATGAAAGGTATAAAGAATGTAACATAAAAAGACAATATAGAAAGACTTAGAAGGGCCAGTTCACCCAAAAATTTAAATCTGTCCTCTTACCTGTAGTGCTATTTTTCCATCTATTTTCTTTCTACGTATCACGGCGCAGAAGGAAGTGTACATCTGCTCATGGACGAGAGGCTTGTGACAGCACAAGATGTATTCATTAATGCCGTCCTCCTGAGCTGAGCTGTAAAGCTGTGAGATGGTTGCTGGGTGTAGTTCGGTGGAAAGAAATTAGTTCCTATATGAAAATGATCACAAGAAGGTCTGTGGGTTATCTTGAGTAACTGGGTCATGACTTCTGGAAAGAAACGTTGTAGAGGTAGTAGTACAGAACCTACTGAACATAAACACATGGACAGGTTTTTCTAAATCCCCCCTGTGACTGAAGTCCTCTAACTCTGGATATATTCTCAATTCGATTTGATTTCTGGCTTGGCTTGGGGTCTGTTTACGGCTGAAGCTGTAAAACGGAGGAAAGAGAGTGATTGTAAATGAACGCTGGCCACCCGAAGTCAAGAATGTGAAGCACTCTACATGTGTTTGCATGATTTATCCAACATAATCTCCTGCAAAGCCACTGTTTTCTAACTCTGTAACTTCATCCTTCACTTCTGACTGCGTCATTCTAAATGTTAAGAACTATGTGCTCTGCTTCCTTTAAGTATTTCATGGTTGACATTAGGGCTGGGTATTGTTAAGAACCTCACGATTCGATTAGATTTTGATTCTTTAGGTCACAATTGGATTCAATTTCGATTCGATATTGATTTAAATGCTTCGATATCGTTTCAGTAATAAGTTGCTGCCATAATAAGTTTGGCGGCAGTTTGCAAAGGAAGGATCTGTCGACTTGTGTCTGTTTTGAATCCACAGGTTTAGCCGCAGGTTGCTGCAGAGCATCTGCATGGTGTCGGCTTAAGTGGTTGCGCAAATTTGTTGTGTTTTTGCAGTATTTTAGTACTGCCTGGCACAGCTTACACACTACCTTACTTTGGTCTATTTCCTGTGTTCCGGGTTTACACTGGAATCCAAAATGACTCCCAACGTCTGCTTTTAAAGTTGAAGGCGCTGGTTTAACACTGCTGCTACCTGCTTCGGTCGTCATGTTGTTGTTGTTGTGTGGTCGAGTGCGGCCTCCGCAAATCACACAAAGGTGTTGCTCACCGCGCCCCCACTGGCCGGGGGCTTGAATCGATTCAGAGGATTTAATGAATCGATATTGAATTGGGAAAAAATATATTGCAATGCAATGATGAATCGATATTTTTACCCACCCCTAGTTGACATTCCGCTGGGTTACGAGGCAATTGTTCAATAGTTTGTTGCAGATACAACACATGAAACATGCCAATATCATTTACCAGCTAATTCTGGCTTTAAAGGAAAAGTTCTCTCGAAACACTTTTCTCTGAGAACTGCTCTCTCTAATATTTGTTACATTTCTGAACACACTGTGGTTTTTTTACTTTGTGTTCATGCTTGTCTCATGTTAATACTTACAGTGCAGCTACAGTGGAGTTTAGTTGAATTTTTTGTATTGTGTACTAAGAAAAGGTTTGAAAGTTTGAAAAACATTCTGAAAATGAATGATGAAATCTGTAAAATGTCGAAGTAAAAAACTGTCTATCTGCCCTGACACCATTATATCCTCCCTCATCCTAGAAATGCTCAGCCTGCCAGAATGCGGTGGAGCCCGAGGCCCAGAGGGTTTCCTATGGAGAGAACCACTGGCACGCCGAGCCGCAGTGCTTCAAGTGCTCCGGATGCTCCAAGTGCCTGATCGGCCAGCGCTTCATGGCAATGCAGGGCTTCCTCTTCTGCTCTGCGGAGTGCAAAAAGAAAACCATGGCTTAGAGGGCCAAAACAATTCCCTCCATCTACTGCACAACCACTTGTGAAACCAGGACAGATTGAGATTAAACTAGAACCAGAGCAGGGAAACAAACACTGGTGCAGCTGGATGAGGGCAGAGAAAACAAAAACCTAGTGCCTGATAACTCGCTGTACAATAATATTACCATTTGCATTAGGGTGCTCTTTTCTTTCTGTCAATGGAAGACCATGGTATAAATCTGTCTCAACTAGTCACTTGAACAACCTTTCAGTCTGTCCTCTGCCTTAAAATCAGCCTTCTTTCAACATGTTTTTCTTACTGATGAGATTAGTTTTGTATTGGTTCAATGTGGCAATTCAGTTTTTTAACCTTAAACCTGTGTCTGTTTAGCGGTATTGGCGCTGTTGTACCCCAAAGAAGTGTTACTGTTGATTTATCATGCCACCTTGAACTGCTTCCTTCATACGAAAACTACTGATACTCACTGTCCTCTATGCAGCAGTATGATGAGCAATATTAGCCAGGTTTGGGGTTGATCTGCTTCCAGTGCACTGTATTCCAGATCAAACTGAAATCAAATAATAATATTATTCTCAGTCAAATGATTATGCAGCAGTTTTTTTTTTTTCTTTGATTGACAGTAAGAATTTCAACTGCCTGAATTTATATTGTATTTTAGGGCAACGAAACAATGTGAAAACTTTCCAGTATACACCACCAGTTACCAGTTTATGAGTTACACCTGTACAAACTATTACTATCATCCTCCTTGTGTATGTTAATGTGGATAAACAACATGAACAAAGAATGTGGATTAATGCAAGGATTTTGGATTGCATTAGCATTTATCTAATGAACTGATAACCCTGCACTTAAATCCAGTACAATAACACCACTAACCATATCCTAAGAAAATGCTTTAGAATTGATTAAACAACTCTCCGATGCAGTCTCAACATGATCTTCACAAATATTAAGCTACTGTATTAGATTGTGCAGATTGTTCATTATTTATATAAAAAATTAAGAACCACTGAATAAAATTCTTTTTTGCATCTCCATTAGTGGTCTTTCATCTTCGTTCCACATAAAAATACTAGATTTAAGTATATGATGATTATTTTATATCATTTGGTATAAATAAAAGGAAAAACATTGGAGCAAATCAGTCATGATGTGCAGGAACAATGTATTCTACCTCCACAGTTACTGGCAGAGAAGTTAACATGTTTTTATCCTGTAGTCTACTTGGATCATCTGCTGGGTGAACACTGTAAAGTTGTTGTAGAGGAATGATGGCAGGTTTGATGCAGTACCCAAGGACTTGATGAAATCAGGGGGAAAAAAACACTGGAAATTGCTTCAGATAACACTGTTTTGTGTCACTCTATTTTTGTTCTTTTAAGTATATTTTTCTGGGCTTTTATTACCTTTATGACAGAGACAGCTGAAGACAGACAGGAAAGGGGGGCAGAGAGAGGGGGTGACACGCAGCAAAGGGCCGCAGGTCGGATTTGAACCCTGGGCTGCTCAGCCTCGGTACATGGGTCGCCAGCTCTACCCACTGAGCTAACCAGGCGCCTTATTTGTGTTCTTTTTGAGCCATGTACTTTCCTTTTCAAGAAATAAACTGCACTTTAAATTACTAATTCCAATAAATTGATACCTACCAACTCCTGGAGCATAAGCTCAATCCCTGAAAGTTAATGCAGGTGAGTTTTTCACTTAACAGCTAAATAATGCCCCTACACACATTGGTGTTTTCTCTTATGCTTCATTAGAAGAAGAAGAAGAAGAAGAAGAAGACATACTTTTATTGATCCCCTAGGGGAAATTGTTCTTTTCACTTTTTTTATATACAAACGCACACACACAGGCTGAAATGCACACTTCATGCACTTGTGGACATGCAAAGGGGAGAGAGATGGAGGAGTGATGGGGCTGCAACGTTACCGCCGCCCCATGAGCAGGTTTTCTACCAGTCCACTCCATATTTTCTGGTCTGTTGGACCAAGCCAAGTCCCTACACACCGAGCTAAATTAGTCCTCCTCTCAGTACTGTGTGTGTCAGACAGTACCTGTTGCAGCAGCAGAGCCTATTTTCCTGGTCTAGTGGACGCTGCCAGGGCTCTCTGGTTTGATGTAGCCAGTGAAGGTTTGCAGCTGCAGTGATGTGGCAGCTCAGCTGATCACACGCTCCACAACATCCAGCCATGGAGAAAATCATGGAAAAAGTTAACCTTTTTTTATTGACATTTTTGACTGGCCATAGCAGGAAAAGCATAGGTGAAACTGAAAACATTAACGGTGCCTCCATTCATTCCATTAAATGTCCCAGTGAAGCATTACAGTGAACCAGTATGCAAAATACCTGGACACTACAGCAGGGTAACTCAAATTGAAGTCAGCCATCGTTAATGTTATTAATTATACCTGTGCTGTTAATACTATGACATGTCTTCCATGAAAAGACATAGTACATTGAGTGTGGTGATCTCATGTAATTCCCATCATGGCTTCAACCTGAGCAGAGCTCTAATCAGTGTAACTGAAAACATCTGTGTGGATATGCAGGGCCTTGATCCTGCTAATTGAGAAATAAACTGAATTACAAATTCATATTACAAACACATGTACTGTATACATATTGCCATAGTATTCAGACTATATATTGCCGTTTTGTACGGGGACAGGAAATGATGCAAACTTGTGCCAGCGGACATCGATTAAACCGAAACTTTAAATGCCATGGCTAATTAAACTTAACAAAGACAAGGCAAAATGTTTTTCCACGTACTTTTCTGTCTTCCTAAGGAGTCTTGGAGCTGATTGTTAACCATCCATCAAGCAGACACATTCTTGCATTTTACATTCTAGATACATTTGTTTTTATTTCATGCATCATCAAACTCAAAAATCAAGTGGATTCAATATGCAAAATTAAGTTTACACACCTTTAATTATCAGTACAGCCCAGTGTGAGCTCTCTCTGACGTATCAGCTGTTACACTCTGATGGGAACTCTGTAGCAGGCCGGCCATGATGGAAAAAACACCTCTGAGGAGCTTGTGTTTTCATTCACCATGTGGAAACAGCGCACAATTCAAGGAAGCTCCATCCCTGAGAAGCCCCATTGTCTTAAATGGCAGTCGGCCCAAAGCTGTGCTGCTACTTCCCCTCTTTCAACCACAATTCTGCCAGACCTGATGTGACCGAATCGCCTGGCCAGCTCCAGGATCACCCAGTCATAACCCCTCTCCAACATCATCCTGTGTCCTATCTCTGATTTTCTTTTGTCATAAATTCCTTGCTTTTCCTGTTCTTCTGTCACAGGAAGTCTGGCCATGTTTGGCATTAGACTTGGAATATCTGTTGCAGTGTTAAAACTCTATAAAACAAACTGCATAGAGCATGGTGGGGTCTTCTTCCTGTAATATTGTGTGCTTGTTGGAATTTGCATGTGATTTGTTTCATGCTTGAATTTGCATTGTGCTGCAGTCTACTACGTGATTCATTTCATTTTGCATCGTATTAAGTTCACTAGAATCCTGCCTTGACTCCATCACACATACCACCTCCTGTGCTGGTCTCCTCGCTGGAGTGGAACTTGTTTTGCTCTTCAGCTCCATGCTGGCTCATGGAAAATGGAGCTGAGATGCTGAAGTGTTGATTGGCTTGTGGTTTTCCTCACCAACACCATATGATGATTAATGTTTCTGGTTCTCTTGAGGGAGCTGCATTATGCTGATGTGTAGCAAAGAATTGATGGGCCTGGATCCACATATCCTCCTTGGAGGATAGGAAATGTCGACAGTGATCGGAAAGTCAGTGAGGTTTTTAACCGTGTAGTAAACTCCGCCTACTTAGCACTGCCTGCGTTCTTGGAAAAAAGTTATTTACATATTTCAGTTAAACTTGAAAAGCTCTGCCATCTTTCCAACATGATGTTTGACTGTTTCTTGGTGCCACCCTGTGGCTATTTTTAAAGCACTTTTTTGCTCACATAATTTGAACAGTGAAGTGCAGTTGCAAAAATGTCCTTGGTTCCTGATATTTAAGCTCATCTTCACCACGACACAAGTGGATGACAAATTCTTTAGGTGTCGCCTAATTAATATAAACTAGCTTGTGGCACTACAGTAGCATAATACATTTGAAATGACTATAACTTAGTGATCATCAGAATAACTATCTTGACATTTTTCACAAACCATCATATTACAAAGCCCCAATGTTAGCTGAGTTTTTTCTATCATAATATGTATTTATTGTGGATCCATGTGGGTTAATATAATTTTATACAATTTCTGTTAATTCAATTTCAAGGGTTGTAGATCCTTTATTATATTATATTATCCATTCTTTGAGTCTTTTGTTTGTATGCCACTTTGCTGTCCTCAGAGTCATTCTTGCAACAAGTTTCACCACCTCCCATCAGTGTCAATGCAGCGGCATGATGACACTCTACTGCCATTGTATGTTGCCTGATATGTTCAAACTTAGAGTTGTTGCCTATAAAAAATTGGCATGACTCTCTATGAGTCAAGTCTGCAGAAGGCCTGATCTTCATAAATCATATCCAGAGCTTGCACTCAGAGAATCCATCTCGTAAATCACAGTCATAACGGCATGAACGTAGGACAGCAAGCTGTATCTAATGTATAAGCAGTGAGTCAGAGTCACATGAAGACGGATGAAAGATTAAACCAAGATGATATTTTGTAAGTTACTTGGAATTTGAATTTTCTGTTTCCACAGCCCTCAGCTGCAAAGTGGAGACACCACATCAGACACGGACTTCACAACCGAGCAGAAGTCTGTTTCAAGGTTTAATGCGTGGATCACTACACAATGTAGCCTACTGTTGATCAGCACAAACAGATTTTTATTAAAACTTTGAAGCATCTGTATTTGCTCTGTTTGAATAAATCAATCTTTGTATAGAACAAGTCCTGTGTAACAAAGACCACCAACAGACTAGTTAAGTATTTTGTGTGTAGTCTAAATACTGCGTGGACACATCCTTACAGTAAAGGCTGCAGGGCAAGGATTACATGGAATCTGAATTTGCTTATCACGACCATCTACTTCTGAGACACTGCAGATGTGGGCTGACTGTTTTTGTCAAAAATCACCTTGGTTGTAAATCCTAAGAAACAAAACATTTACTTGTGTTTTGTTTTTTCACCACATTGTTGTGACGAGGTTAAAGATTCATATCATCATCAACCTTTTTGTCAAAGTTCTATAGTGTCTTTGCTGGTAGAGTAATCTGATATTTTCTACACAAAAGAGTTTGAAGGTCATCTTCAACTCATAAGGGGGAAAACTACAAAAAATACTAACTTTAAAGCTGCTATAATCGATACTGTTATTGTTCAAACAACTATGTGCAAAGTGGTCGCTCATATGATGAACCCACAGAGAATTACTACCCAACTTCCCCTCAAACTGATCATTTTAGCATCTTTCAGCTCATTGTTTTAGTTTTATCCATCAGTATCAGCAGCAGCAGGCAGCTATTAAGCTGTGATAAACTCACTGTACACTGCCAGCATCAAACAGCTTGCAGACAAAGTGTAGCAGCTAGTACACATTTATCTGCTAAAGGGACAGATATATTCCTCAGGAGAGTGAATATTGGACTTGAATTCATCAGGTGGACTAAAATACGACTCCAAATTAATATTAATGTTGCTATGTGTCTGAATAAGCCATTTTGTTTGCTAGTTAGCCATTTTAACCTTATAAATATCAATGCAACATTTTACACTTTCCCATACAGTGTCAAAAGATCAATGCAGTTTTCAAGAGAAGTTAGGAAGTTTGTACAGCAGTAAAGATCAGGGTTTAAACTTGTTTGGGACTGTGTTATGTGTGGTTGACAGTCCTGGATGATCTCCATGGAAAAGCCAAGGGAAGTGGATGTGTACTGCTCTTTATCAAAGGTTCGGAAGTTAACCAGACATGCATTTGCAAACCAAGCAGTTCGTTTTCATTCTTTTCTTTTCCTTTTTCTCGTAAATTTGAAAAATACTGTTTTAAAACACGTCTGATAAAG